CGTAACTACAAAAGATCTCTCTTTTTCGCGTGCGTATGCGTTTTCCAAATATTATTCACGTAGAATGTTTTTGTCGAATTGATTAACTAAGAGATAAGAAAACCCGAGCAAAACGCTCGTGTAATCCACAAGTTTGTTTTCGTTCTCTCGGGTCGAGGGAATTTTGCAAATCCTCGTATTTGGCCGAAGACTATACACGACGGCGGGAAGACGGTCGGTAACGAGAATCGAATATTACGATTTTCTATCGGGGGGATGCCAGCGCAACCAAATGCCGGTAACAGCACCGTGTCCGGCGAATTCTCGCAATTGCGGAAACTGGCCCGCACTGAAAACGTTACCGGCCTGTTGTTACGCGTCTTCCATGCCGCTTTTCCGTTGATGAACCCTCTCGCTCTCTCGGTATAGCGTCCGGCGAAACGTCGGCAACAGCAAAATGAAATCGGCTCGGTTAGAGAGAAGATAATTAATGACAAAGAGGGTGGAGAGCGCCGCGCGAAAAACCTGCTTACGTCGTTCGCACTTGTGTGTGCGTTACCGTTAAGGATTATAAATTGTTCGCCGTTGTTTTCAAAAGAATCACCTCCTTCCTCCCTCCGTCCCTTGCATTTCCGCGAGCTCTTCCACTTCGCTCTTCTGTCCACCTTCGTGCGCTTTCAACCGGTGATCGCGGGGTAATGAACGCGTTCTACACAACTCGGGTGCGCGAGTCCGCCATTATTGCATTGCTCGGACTAAATAAATTATTCCGCCTTTTGTGTACGTACGTGCATGCGCGAGGTGTTGTGCGAGATATCTCGCTCTCTCTCGCTCTTTTTATCTCCAGCGGAAATACGCAAGAGGAAACCTGCCGGCATTCGTCGGTCGGAGAGAACGTCGGTTGTGAAAATCACCGATACACGCGATCGAAATAACGCGCGTTCTCGATTATACACCAATTGTTTCAGCAAGTAGCACAGTAATAATAAAAAATGTATCTTAAAAATATTAAAAATTACATCGAGAATCGAATTGATGCGAGAAACGATTGATGTATTTACATATCGATTAATTATTTCTTTGATATAAATATCCGGTCGTTTTATTGGGTTCCGGGACAATTTATCTTATAATTGAGAGTATCAGCCGACGAAATGAAAGAAAGAGAGAAAGTTTTATACACGTGTAGATAGAAAAAAAAAAAAATTACGTACCGTAATTTAGTTGCCTTGTCGACACTTTTGTTATTTCAAGCTACGTTTTAGCGCGCGATCTCAATCGGAACGACGGTTCCGTTATGTATACGCAGGATGTGCACGGTATCCCAGGTTGCATAACTCAACAGCAAGATATTGAGCACTCTATTATCATAGTAAACCTCCGTTCCTCAACAGCCCTTCTGATGACGTAATTATCTCCAGTAATTAAAGCACACATATACTTCGGACTCGGTTATTGACTCTTTGGAGACAAGGCGCGGGGTGAGAGTGGGAATTATGGAAATTTTGTGCAAACAAGCTTTTATTTCGATCATCGGATTATTATCATCTATTAATAGACGATTCGCGATAGATTAGCCTAGTTAATATCGTCCATTACAATGCAATATCGACGATTAATTTATTCTCCCATTTGTGATATATTATCTATTATTCTAATAGACTTTATTGACACAGATCAGCTGCATTAGCAATTAACACAGTCAATCAATATAATCCTCTCTCGCGCATTTAATTTAAATTTATGTTTAATTATTATACAATTAGTTTCTTGTTAACTCTTGTTTAATCAACTTCTACTCAAGTCACTTTCAATTTAAATCACACACAGTGGAAAATATTTTATTCATAATTTTGTTTAATTCCATCTGCATTTAAATGTGTTTTCTCTAACAATTTGTTTGATTACATTTGAAATAAAATAAAAACTCGTCTCGTAATTGAAACCAACAATATTGCGCTATTTCTCGCAAGTCAGTTGACAATAGATCGACGTATCGAGCGTTGTATGTGTGTGTGTGTGTATGAATTCCCGTATTTTAGCAAAGTGCAAAAATTATAAAAGCAAACAAGACTGTGTGCGATTCATCGATCACGCGTTCAGGAGTGTCATTACTCAGGGGTGGTGTGTCCGCCGGTCGCGCGATACACGATCGGTAGATAAAAGAAAGAACCGTGATGGAATGGCCGCTACTGCTGCTGCTGCTGGTGCAGCTTGACTATGCTTCTCGTTTGTGCAAGAGGGAAGGGCACAGACAGCGGAGGGCAGTATAAGTGGGCTAGTAAGTTTCACGATAACAGTTATAAATGACCCTCTCGAAGCGCGGCGCCGCAGGACTCTCAGCTACGTGCCAGACACTGGCCCCCGCCTAACACAAGCGATACGGCCCCACCGATGTAGTCGTAAAAGGCGCTAAACAAACATACGCTAAGTGCCCCTCCCGGCCTGGTGTGCGTTTACGTGCTCTTGATCGATAATCGCGATGTCGATCGCACGTTCTTCCCTTCGACATATCCGATCACCGTCGTGGCTTCAAGGAAGCTGACGTCATCTACAACATCTTCAGAGTTTCGCGAATTTTCTCGTCTGCGAGCAAATATCTTGGGATGAGCGATGGCCGCAATATATAATCTCAAATCTAATGACTTTGGTTTTTGAACCGTAAACTAGGTAAATTGTTCTTGCTTGGAAGCTGTTTTTATTTCACTCTATCCGTTCATCAAAATAAATTATTGCGAATATAAGAAATAATAGATAATTCTTTATTTTTCGATAATTTATAAGTTTTGTGATAGGAGAAAAATTCTTAGTTTTGCTTTCTCTCTGAAAGAGAGACGGTAAAAGAACAAGCTATGCAAAAGTGTCTCGTTCGCGACGTATTCATACAAATGAAAATGCAGTGTGTTCGAATCATTTGACTAGCACAATGTTGCGCAACAATATTTTTTTTCTTCGCGGAAAATATGTCGCGAACGCGCGTGTAAATAGTTTTTTTTTTTTTTTTTTCAACTAAAACCCAGCGTTCTAATAAATTTCGAAGAAACGTGAATCAACATTGCTCGAAGTTAAATACACTCGTGACTTTGATAACAATATCGCGCGCGATATTGTTTATCAATAAATTATATTCAAAGCCTCGGAGATAATGCAGAGACAAATTGGCTGTATTTTGTGCGCGTGCATACACGTGCGCGCGCGCGTGCATCTGTGAAACTCGTGAGAAAGGGGACCTTTCTCCCTTCCCGTATTAACATCAGTGGTGTAAGTAGATGAACAAGTACCCGGGGCACTCAGAAGCTAAGTACTCCCTTGTATTCGTCCTCTCTTCCTTTCCCATCATCTTCTCGCAAGCTCCCGTGTACATATAATATAAATTTTGTAGCAGCGGGAAGAACCACCAGAAATTATAACAAACGCCTCTCGGTAAATTAATTAATATTAAACGAAGTTTGATATTACGAACGCGAAAATAAATTTGAATAATTTTGCGTTTCTTTTTCAAGACTTGATAATTTTCTCGCGGCGCTGCCAATTCTTGCAAAAGTTATTAACGGCAATTTTAATAAACGTCTCTCGCGTTTCTTTTAGTAAAATAACGGATATTGTATTAACGAGCATATCGACGAGGATGTCATGAGAATATTAAATCTGATCAAAATGTGGCATCTTTTCTTCGCGTTAACTTAACGATTCGAACGAGTCGATTGATCGGTTTAATTCTGAATGTGCACACGTACAGCAGACGATACGGCGACCGAAGTGAAGACGCCATTACATAATGCGCCACAAGCTCAGGATAAATGCCTCCCCGTAATTGCGCTCTGTCCTTTCGAGGAAATACGGCGCGTTATTCGGCGGTATTATGAACACAAATCTCGGCGTCGTCGTCCCCGGGAACGTTAAGCGACAGTCGCATTTCAACCCGGGGAGGATCGTCCTTTTCGTTCCGGGAACGATCTCTCAGAGCTCGGCCGGAGGGTAAGAGATGACGGCGGTTCCTTCGAAGTGGAACGCCGCCGACAGGTAGCTTTTAAGGAATTTATCCAACCGCACATTAAACGGCGCGGAGATCTTGATAAATCCAAATGGAATTCCCGTGTCACCCGAGTCACTTGGCGTGTGTGTGACTTTCGGCGCGGATTTTCATCCTACGTTGGACCCTACGTTGCTCCGATGCCAAAAATCGATTTATTGGCGCTAATCGCAGCCGGTTCTGCGGTCGCGCCGCGACATATTTCCATATTAGAATTTAGTGCGGACGGATCGCGCGAAGAGGGATATAACTGCGAGACATCACTTATCCCCCCTCCTCCCCTTTCCTCCTCTGCGCATCGATATTTCATCGTTACGCCGGATTCGTTTGAGGACGGATGTGCGAAAACCTTATTTTGTTCGGTGACATTGTTAAAATATATATGACGTCTCATATGTAAAAGAGACCATCAATTTGTTTTGAAAACACTACAGCAAATGTCTTTGTAACCATTTGTCAAATTTTATGTCGGAGACAGGGGAAATGAAAAATTTAGTAAAGAATGAAGTTTCAACATTTTTTTACAACTTGCAAATTTAAAGCTCTCGTCTTCTCGATTGTTAATTACATATCGAAAAACTGAATCTTAATTGTGCAATTTTAATTAAAACGCGAGAAAGTATCTTTTTATTGTTATCTTATTCTTTTTATATTACCTGAGATGATTTATATGTGCGTGCAACATCATTTTGTCGGGGCGAGTTTTGGATGTCGCAAAAATTGAGATCATTTCTACCAACAGAAAATAGCAGTTTTTTAAATAAAAATTGAGAAAATATACTTCAATTCTCAACAGAAAATTTTTCTTGCAATTTAAATTGCGTTTTAGAATCGCGCTCGAAGTTTTGCATTGCCGTTCTTGCGCGCAGCTGCAGACAGGCGCAGACTGTCGTCGGTTCTCGCGCAGTAGAACAGGTCGCGCCCTGGGCAGACAGCGCAAGCGTCGTGGTGTTAAATTCGCAACAACATCGATCGCGGTCCAGGGAGATGCTGTCCGGCGTCTCGTCGATCGCACGTCGTCCGTCAACACGCTTCGCATTTTACTGTTCAAAGCTTCCTGTTACGTTTTACAATCTCTTAAACTATTCGCCAAGATGTGAGAAAGGAATGTGTCAAAGAGTGTGAGAAAAGCGCTTTCGCTTTGTTTTATTTTTTTTTCCCGAAAAAGCGAGAACTTCCTGTCAAGGAGCGTTCGTCGGTGTGTTCGATTTCGTTTGCAAATAAGCGTCGAAAATGAAGGCGTTACTGCTCGCAGTTTTGCTCCGTTTCCTCGGCATCGCTTGCGGTAAGCTCGCTCGGTTGTTGTCAAAATCAACGACGTATATACGAATCTTCGCGTTGACAAAATGATTCTTCCTTCTTCCAAACAGGGAACAAAATTTTCGAAGCGAATCCCGATACCAAGAGACTGTACGACGACTTGTTGTCTAATTACAACAGACTGATACGGCCGGTTGCCAACAACACAGAGACTCTGACGGTTTGGCTGGGGCTGAAGTTGACGCAGATAATAGAAATGGTACGCAAACCAAAAAGAGATAGAACGTGAATCTTGTGTTAAATTTATGTTTTGATAAGACACACACGAAACGTTATTTTTCCACAATTCTATACTCGAGATTTGCTGTTCGTTACATATTTTTTTATTAATTTCATGTATTTATGTTTAAATGTTAGCTGTTGATTGTGTTCGCTGCACATTTAAATGTTTGATGTTTTATAGAATCTGAAGAATCAAGTTATGACAACGAGTGTCTGGGTGGAGCAGGTAACGTCCTGAAGTCCGTCTTACGTCGATTTGTCTCGACTTTCACTGCAATTCTTGATCGGTCGGTTTTGTTTATTTATTGCAGAAATGGTTCGACTACAAATTGACGTGGGACCCGCAGGAATACGGCGGTGTAGAAATGTTATACGTACCCTCCGAGAACATATGGCTGCCGGATATTGTGTTGTACAACAAGTAAAGAATTTTCCAAATAGAAAAAATTTCTTCTCGTCGACGAGATAAATGATTCATTCGATAGATTCTTAAAACTAAGACGCCGCATCAAAGCACTGTTTTCTTTTTTATTCTTCAGTGCGGATGGAAATTACGAGGTGACGTTGATGACAAAGGCCACACTGAAATACACGGGCGAGGTGTCCTGGAAGCCGCCGGCCATTTACAAGTCGTCCTGCGAGATCAACGTCGAGTATTTTCCGTTCGATGAGCAATCGTGCATCATGAAATTCGGCTCGTGGACGTACAACGGCGCTCAGGTTACAACACACACAGAGAAAATACATTCTATGAAAGCTTTACCACTTTTGAAAGACACATTTTGTTAATAGAAAAATATTCGCACACAAATTTTCTCGTTTTTTTTTGTGCAACGTCTCCAGGGAGATTGTGTGCTTTTGCACAAGTTTCACATCTCCTGAGAGCGAACTTTGTGACAGTCTGTTGCTTGCAGGTGGATCTGAAACATATGAAACAAGAGCCTGGCAGCAACGTTGTTGACGTCGGCATTGATCTCACCGACTTTTATCTGTCTGTTGAATGGGACATTCTGGAGGTGCCGGCAACACGCAATGAGGAATATTATCCGTGCTGCGAGGAACCGTACTCCGGTAAATAATTTATTAAGACGGAAAAAAAGAGATCGATCACACGCGTTTTCGCGCGCGTTTTTCTCTAATGGAAAATATTTTCTAACGAGATCAAAACGGGACATTTATTACATACACACACACACACACACACTACTTACAGAGAGATCATTTTGTTACAGATATCACGATTCAAATATAATACGATGAGAAGAACAAACCCTTTTCTCTGTCATAGAAAATATTTTCGGATGAGAGATTGTCGCACACTATTTAGAGATCGCGTTTTATTGCAGATATCACGTTCAATATTACGATGAGAAGAAAAACCTTATTTTATACTGTCAATCTTATTATTCCCTGCGTCGGTCTGACGTTTTTAACGATACTGGTGTTTTATCTGCCTAGTGACTCTGGCGAAAAAGTAAGTAGATATCATTCAAGGAATTTTTTAATCTCATATACATTGCTACAAAATATCTTGATCTCAAAGTAGATGAAACAACATGGAAAATTGTGTCTCACAAATTTGTCATAGTCGAAAAGAATTATATTAATTATTGTATGCTTTTTGCACACTTTTCGCGCAGGTATCACTTTGTTCCTCCATTCTCCTCTCGTTAACGGTGTTCTTCTTGCTCTTGGCCGAGATTATTCCGCCCACATCACTGGCCATACCTTTGCTGGGAAAATACTTATTGTTCACTATGATTCTGGTTACTCTGTCCATCTGGATTACTGTTTGCGTCTTAAATGTACACTTCCGGTGAGTCGTACTCTTTAATGTGTTTCACGCTAAGAAATTAAAACACCTCTCTTATGAAAAAAGAATGAACGTTCAATATACAGATAACTCTCCGCGTTAATACAATTTGAACTTTCTAAAGATGTTTTGATAAAAAAGCAAACTCTAAATAAATTAACCGCCTCTCATAGATCGCCTTCCACACACAACATGTCGTCATGGGTAAGACAGATATTTTTGAATTGGATGCCGCGAGTACTGATGATGCGTCGGACGCCATACTCTACGCCCGAATACGACGACACTTACATGGACAGCGCGTATACCAATGAGATAGATTTCAGGTATAATCCTCGATCCTTTCGCTCAAACATATATCTTCAGCAAAATACGTTATTACTATCTTGTTTTGCTTGGAAAAAAAGAATTTCAATACGAAAAGTAGTTGATAGGTAAATTCTTGCACATAGTCTATTTATTTGTTTAAACAATGTCTAATACAGTGTAAGCGATTATCCTATGGAACTGAAAGGCAGTCCGGACGTGTTTGAAAGCGTCACTACTACATATAAGAATATCAGAGACGACGGTGCACAACACGCACCGCATACATCGGGTAATTATTTGATTATTATATTTATCTCAAAAACTTTTTAAATTTCTTTTTCTATGTATTATATTATACAAAAGTAATTAAAATGTAAAAAATCTTGATTTTCTTCCTTTGTTTAAGCACCTTCCTTTGTTTTTTTATTACAATATCGTATGAAAACAAAATACCAAACAGCATACGTGTCTCAAGTTTCTCTTTTTTTATATCATTGTATAATATATAAAGAACAATCAAGATCGATGATATTGTAAAAACTTAATTACTCACAAAAAAGTATTCTATACAAATGTTTCTTTATTTATTATTGAATAGTTACTTCGAATTCCCAAAGAAACTTGTTTTTTCTTAGTTAATTGTTGTTTCAGTTTCTGATAGCGAAAATACTGTGCCTAAACATCTCTCTCCGGAGGTCATATTAGCCCTCAAGGGTGTACGTTTCATTGCTCAACATATAAAAGATAACGACAAAACTAACGAGGTAAATAGTTCGATGTCCAACATTTTGTGTCTAATTTGTCTTTTTTTTTTTTTTTTTCATTACAATTCTGATGAACGTCTCTACAGCTCATTTCTCTGATAAACAATTTTGTTACACTCGCGTATATACACACATATAGTACCTTGTCTTACAATATAATACATTTAATATCCTACATATCGACAAAAAAAAAAACATTTCTGATATACATATTACTCTTGTGAAAAAATAAAGTCTCATCGTTAAAAACGATTTGCTTGGTTTCGCAGGTGATTGAAGACTGGAAATTTGTCGCTATGATTTTGGACAGATTCTTTCTTTGTGTGTTCACGATCGCGTGCATCAGCGGCACGGTGGCCATAATATGCCAAGCGCCCAGTCTGTACGACACACGATCTCCCGTGGACATAAAGTACTCAAAAATATCATTGCGCAATTACATGTTACCGCCGAATTCAACATTTATTGACGAGGAAGCGACATAAAATCTGCATAAACACGCTTGTGACACCAAAGTAAGAAAAAAACACGTTACACATATACGCCATCAGTTGTCCGCGTGCGGTAAAACGTTTTTGCGACTTTTCCACATTCTACACGTTTGTATACCGCAGACATTTTCGTCCTCACTTTTTTCACAAAAAAAAAAAAAAACTAATATTTCCAGAAAGAAAACATCAAATAAACACATCGAGCATATCTTCCTGAGTGTTATATTGTCCAAGTATTTAATAAGTAATAATGTATGTAGAATAAAAGCAATTATATATCTGAAACATAAATCTTGAAAAAGAAGCATCGATATAATCTACATGTTAATGTTATAGATATAGTTTATCATTTAAGTTAATCTCCGATTGATTGAACATCACAAAGAATTGTATTTTTGCGATCTTGTTTCTTTTCTTTTTTAAAAAAACATACTCGTCTAGCTTGCGCGCGCTGAGACCTCGCATATGTTAAGGTTAATGCAAGGAACTTAAATACGAAAAACGGAGATAACTTTATTTTCACTTACGTTGTATGTATATGTATATAATATATATATGTATGTATATTACACAAATGTTCTGTATTAAAATACGTATATCGAATTGGATCGAAATTCAACGCCTAGATTCAGTTCGCCAAAAATTGGACAAAACATACGTGGGAATGCAGCGTTATATTAATAATATTCTAAATAAATGTAAATCGTTCAGTCACAGATTCATTCACTCATCTTCCTCTTAATCTTGCTTCCGTTAAACAACGAAAAATATAAAGTTGCCCAAAAAACATGGCATTTCCATGACTGTAAATTCTAATGTACAGAAAAGATGATCGAATGTCGCGTGTAGAATAATAAGTAGTAATTTTTACAGAGTTTCACTGTACGTGTGTGTAAGCACGCGCACGCGCGTGTATAACTCATTTTACACGGTTCCTCATTCTAAATCGATTATCATTAACTCAGGTGATTCACTTGTACTACTAATGGAGTTGGTCTGTGCTTTCTTTGGCGATGAAATGCCAATGGCTGGTTTCTTTGTACTTTGAGTCGGCGTGTTGTCTTCGTCGTCATCACTATCCGATATTAAATCGATAACAACTGCGCGTTTCTTTTCTTTTGGTGCTGGAGTAGTAGGATTACTTTCATCTAAATAATTCAAGTGTAGTGTCACTTGGGTTGTGTTTAAAAGTAAAATTATGAATTAGAAAATTTGTGAAAAACTGAACTCTTCCCTTACCTAAGTCTACTGTGTCTACATCAATTTTATCCTGATTTGATTCAGTCTTAGTTTCATTCTTTTCCCTGTCCTTTTCCTTATCCTTCTCTTTTTTCAAAACCAAGTTCTCCCACGAACCGTCTTGTAACAACTGAATCTCATTTACGTCTGGCAACAACTTATTCGAGTTGAGAACTTCCTGGAAGTACCCATCGATCACAAGATTGTCATAGAGCGCCGGCTTGTCACAGACTGGACAATTCCAAGTCGGCTTTCTCTCGTTCATTTGAAGGAACAAGGAAGCGTCAAAACACTGTAAATGAGAGCACGTCGATGCGCGACACGGTGTAGACATCCTCATCTTTCCCAAAGGACAGGCTAACGATACTCTCAGTGACGTAGTAGCTATTTCGCTATCAGCATCTTCATTTAATTTTTCCTTAACTGTAAAGCAAGTTGTTTGTTATGATGAGGAACGTTTTTTTTTTATCACAATTGTAATTCCGTGTAAGATCACGGCACAAAAAGCGATAGCTTACTCAATCCTCTTGTGTAATCCGAATGCCTCACACCTCTGTTTTTTAATCTATTAAGCAACTCAGCACTGGATAATTTTCTTACGAGGTAAACCGCGATTGCGTATCGCCTACCGTAATCAGCCGACCATGTGACGCGAATTTCATTTCCGACAGTGGGCGACAGTTTTACTAAGGGACTGATATTGATAGGCCGTGGTGGTCGTTTTGGTTCTACGCTCGGTTTATTTGTAGGAATAGGATTCTGAGTATAGAAAATACATTTACAATTTTTAATCGATGCTTATCATTACTCGTACAAAGAACAACGTAAAAATAGAATGAACAGCACTTTCTCCGCATAACGTCAGAGCTCTTCCCCTTCCCATCATTTTTTTTTATCTCTGTCTCACCGCAAATGAAAGACGAGTTCTCTTTTCTTGCTATTATTCCGCTATCGTAACCTGCAAACTGATCATGTATGCGCGAAATAAACATAATTTTTATATGCGCATATTAAACGCGACTTTCCAAAGAGTGGGAAAATAAAACGGAAACACTTGAGAAGTGGAAGTTAAATGATTCCGACGATTTGAAAAGTAGTTTTGCTTTATTTCGATTTTGCTCCGCACTATATACGAACACTTTAGTCTCGAACTTGATGTTATGCAGAGGTACATAGTACTGTATACTAACTTTATTGCACTTACCGGTAAAGGACACAATTTTCCGTTAACTTTTACAGCAATATTTGGTGGAAAATGATCTTCTTGTTCGCATGACGTTTCTTGTAAACAAAATCGCATTTGTACCTGATCAAAGCAATTTAACTTATAAATAAATATTAAGAAATTTATTTGCGTTCCTTTGTGCATTGTGCTTTCTTGTGCGAGTTTTAACATTTCGTTACAAAAATTTTCAACATATACCTGTACAATGTAATCCATTTTACTGCCTGTTCGACAATCGCGTGAGGTGCCAATATCTGTCGCCTGCTGTGGAGTCAGATGAAATGTGAACGAATTCTCTTGTAATCTCATTGTTCCCTGTGGCATTAAACTAGAAGGTTTTAATAATTCTCCTAATAAATCAAAAAACGGAAGTTTTTTCAATCTGACATCTGGATGTACGGGATATTGACTTGCAGCAGGTTGTATTTGTAGTGGTGTTGATAAAACTTTCGGATTATATGGATACGGATGATACCCTGTATTTGCTACACGCTGAAAAAAATAAAATATTCTCGATTTATAAACAAGTAAGAACATCATAATAATCGTCAAAAGTCTTACATATTTCCTATTATTTATAGATAATGTAAAATAAATCCTGTTTCAAAACACACGAAGTTTACAACATTTTCCTCTTTCGTGATAAGTTTGTTAAATTGTATTTTTACATAAATTATATTTTTGAAAAAGTCTTTGCACACCTGTGATGGTACAGAAGTATAACCAGGTGTCTGATATACTGGATTTGTTCTAGGTGCTTGAGGTAAAGATGCTTGATGCGCTGGTGGCAATTCCTTTCCAGCAGCAACAGATGCTTGTTGCTGTTGTTGTTGACTCATTGCTTGTCTTTTAAAAACAATTATGTTTTTATACAAATGTATATTATTTTTACATGTGTATATACATTGATCAAAATATTACAGCTACCTTGTTGAATAATAATTTCTATTATGCATGTTTTGATCTATTTGTGGTTCTGCGGAACTGCCAGTTTGGCCGTATATTTGATGAGCGGTAGCCATTTGATCTGCTCTATAAAAAATATCTCATGCATCATCTGACCTTAAGATTTAAGAAGAGACGATGATCGCTCTGACTATATCACATTTAAGACTTGAGGAATAAATATTTTACATTTATCGGAGCTACTATATATATTTTGCCAATACAACTAATATTTACTGTTTCATCTACTGCAAGTCTCAAAACTCATTTACTCATATAATGCTACTCATATAAGTATACTCATACAAGTAATTATATTATATGATGTGTATATAGAGAAAAACAAGTATGAGCTACAAAAAAACTTAAACATTTGTATACATACTTTTTTCTAATTCTTGCACTCACTTACACTTACTGTATTGTTTTATATAATTCACGAATTTTTAGGCGAATAGCTGGATGTGATCTTAAACGCAATAGCTCCAGTGCACGTTGTTGCAACTCGTTCTTTCTGCCAGACTTATTTCTACCAGCAAAACCAAGAAGCATCTGAAGCTCAGACACTCGAAAATTTAATACCATACTCTGCAATTAGAATATTCCATTTTCTTACGGTTTGCTCAGTACCACAATCCTCAGATAGTAAAATTAGATTACGCGTGCTTGAAAGAACACAGAGTTGGCCAACAAGCACATTAAATATCACAATTAAAAACAATTGGATTATACACCCACAACATACACACATATGTACAAAAAGTTCGCAATAAAAAGTTTAGTTTCCTTTTCTAAGAAAGTTTATGTTCCAACATCGTTACAAGGTACAAGTACACTTTGAACAACTAATCACACACAGGTTCCAATTTACGTTCATTATTTTTAATTAAATCATCGAAGTTAATGTCACATTAATAAACATATCGCGCGATATATTTGGTGATAACCAAATGTGGAACAATATTTCGACATGGACAATAATTCACATGCGTCACGGAACGAAAATTTAAAAAAATTGGCAAAGGTCAATCCCGTCGATGTATCGATCGCCGGAGCGTGATGTCAATGGGGAAACAGCGAGATGTTGGAATCGGAACACGCAAAAGAACGGTGAAGTGTGAGGTTATATATACCCATAATTATCCACGAACGAAATTACATCACGTTGTCAGAACCATCGATAGCTTGCGCTCTCGTGTAGAGTCAAACGAAAGTCACCGTGCCTCAAACTGCAGTCTAGCCAATATACAAATAGGTATTCGTCCACTCGTGTTTTTACCCACGAAAATAACACTCGCAAACGGTTCTTCGCGCAACGCGTCGTCTTATCCGTAACTCATCGGTCGTCGATCAGAGACCAAGCGCCCGCGAAATATGTTCAGACTGATGCGCATCTGGGGGCGTGCATAGCATTGAAGAGCGGGACGGGACGGGACGCGACGGAATAAACAGAATTGTGCGCGCGTATGCGTGTACACGCGATCGCTCTGTCTCTCCGCGACGAAAACTATTCCCGACAAAAAAAATTCTCCAATTCCGGAAATCAACGCGACACCATGCGCGGCGACACAAAATTCCGACACAATCCGCCAACAGGAAAGGACGTAGCATTTCCTTCCGTATATATGAAACGGTACTACACCTGCTCGTTATCATTTGTTACGCGCACCCACTCACCTCCAGTTCCTCGGTATCCGCCATCTTCTTGGCCGACTTTTTTGCCGCAGCCGTTTTGCCGACGGTGATTCGAAACTCGCGGCCAGAAAACACACGCGATCGCCGTCGTCGTGCAGTCGCGGCCGCCGGACGTGACCTTACGTCTGCCACCTCTTACGTTTTCTCTTTCGAATCTTCTTGCACTTTTTTTCCCCTCCCCTCGTCGAGAATATTTGCGCGAAAAACCAGCGCGATCTCGTCCGTCTCTGAAATCAAACGCCGGGATTTTAACGCCAAGAAACAGAAGCCGCGCGTTCGAAATGGATTTGCTCACACACGTGTGTCATGCCGATTGGACAAATATATCGACATTGACACTCGCCGTTCGAAAAGCGAAATTTTCCAAAATGGCGCCGCGCCGTGTCCGTGAATACGCGAATGTGTAAACGTGATCGATACGTACTTATCCTAGATGTGGAAAGAGAAAATGTCGCTTTATATTGTCTTTTATCTAAAGCGAGAGTAGCTCCTGAATTCAATCCGTTATTGTACAAGGACAAGAAAGCGGTCACAATGCACACTTTTTTCCTCTTCTCGTGTACCCTAATCCTAACCTTCTTAATTAAATATGATTCTAACCTAACCTAACCCTGCAACGAACCGTCGAGACCGGCCTTCGAGGCGCGCAATACATACCCATTATCCCCCTCACATGTACTAACACTACTATTGCCCCCCTCCACGATACGATTAGTTTTGCGAGAGGTTAGAGTTCTTTGTCGGTGAAAGGAATGCCATGATCTGCGCAAGCGCAAGCTAGAGCTGCGCTAATAGAAAGGGAAATGACATTTCCCCTCTGCGCCAAATGATTAAAATGCGTGAGGGTCACGCGCTAGCCAATCAACGTATCGCTCTTCGGCGGTATAAAAATTTATACCCGCTTTGACACGTGATAAGAGTTCGAGAAAATAAATAAAGAAGAGAAAAATGTCTATTTTAGCGAATATCACAAATGTAGATGGCAGTGGCGATAAACGTCATGAAATACCTTTGCTTCAGGCAATTGAGTGACTTATTCAAGCTGTACAGAGATCGAATTGACTACTACTTATTTTCTTGTATATTTCAAAACATGACAATGCTTCAGAGTCACGCCGTGCGATGGAAAAGTATGCTAAATCCACGTTAAATCTGATCAACCAAGATGGCCGCAACGGGTCTTACCCCTTACCCTACTGTCTTCACACCCCCGTCACCTGTGAATACTTCAAGCTCCGTCTAATCTATCTTCTTACATCTATGGTAGTAAGAAATCTTCGAATATATATTCTCAAGAGTCGTACAACACCGGTCTTGCGAAAAACTCGATGTTAAAGATCTCTTTAGGCGATGCGTCTTATAATTGAAAAAAACTTGGTGTGCAGAAAAGACGCGTTCAGAAACCGCGCTAGAACGTCATTCTATCTTTTTCGATCAAGCTGAAGTATTTCAAAATTTGGCCAATCTTATTGCTTGATTTATCGAAGATTGATCGCTCGAAAACGCTATTTATCGCTTATGTAAAACAACTTTCTTTTAGATTTTTTTTTCTATCTCTCTCTTTGACATTTCCACATTTTGTACATCAATTCCAATGTTCCTTTCTCTGTATTTTTATTTCAATTTGTTTGTCACCTGAAATAACTAACTACAAATCAGATGTTATTTTTAATTGCTCTTTTTGATATATGTTCGATATCTGCAATCGTTTATCTTGTTGTCGGCCGCGTCTTCGATTTTATCTTTTGTCTGAGAAACAACTTTTTATATATATAATGGATTTTATATATGTATATTTCAAAGCATTCCTCTCTTCCAGACATCGTTCTTGAGATACTGCGTATTTTCTATTAAATTCATTAAATTCTCGACAAAGCAATTTAATGTTTTCATGCTTTCGATTTAATTGTGAGGAAGAATTTAATTAGCAGTGTTTTATTTTTATCAAAAACATTGCTAATTAAAACGTAGTAATCCTATCTCCTCCAAATTAATAATAATCTCTTCTTTCCTTATCTGTTATTCGTCAATGCGAAGGTTTTATTTGAATCTCTTATCATTGAGATTTCTACGTAAGCATATTATAAAATAAATAAACGTATTCTTATCGAAAATCATCTCCGTATCTAGATCCATTTGCGATAATAAATATACTTGCATTGCTTGTCTCAATATATTTGATGAGAAATATATCTGGAAATCTTTGTCGAACATAAGTAAGATGTGCAAAGTAATTGCGATGTATTTCTTTCTTTTTATTTTGTTAAATTGAAAGTGATATCGCGACTTAAGTGACTAATATTTTTTTTTATAAAATAAAACGTAAGATTTTTAACGCTTGAGCAAAGGCGATGAGAGGAAATTTCTTGTGTTTACAAATACTTTATTTATTTTTCTGTTAATTATAATTTATTTACTGATACTCTCTTCAACATATACGTATATTTGCTAGTATTGCGATTGCTTACAGTAATCAACGTCGTTACAATTAATCTGCTACAGATCATTAAATAAAATGCGTCTTTCTTTTTATATTAATTTTATTTGATTATTGAAAATAATAAAACATACTTATTGGCAACGAGAGATATACGTGACAGAATAAAGGTTTGATTTGATATAATTAAAGACAGTTCTCTAAAAGATATAATCTTTTGTATTAATATATTTATTAAAATATCTTAACAAAAAAAGTGATCTACTTCTACAGTTATAATAACATAGCTGTTTAGCAAGCGTGCAATTAAGTTTTTGTATAATTGCTAGGTAATTCTAGTTCTTCTTCCAGTGTACTTTCTAAGGTCGATTGATTAGCTAGCCAATCATCCCACGGATTTTTGCATGATTTCACTTTTGTTGTTTTGGAGCATTTTTCCTTATTTTCATCGAAGTATTTTCCCCATTCACATTCAACCAGTTCCCTCTTGTATTTCTTATTACATTTGTAATATAGTCTACAGTCACATTCGTGTTCCCATATGTCACCTTTATCTTTGTCTTTTGGGCAACCACCAGGAATAGATTCGCAACGAGCTCGTTCCGGAGTGTCACATTCATTGTCCCTAGAATTGAAGTGTTTATTCTTTCTGCATTGTTTCCAGACCCATTGTTTCTTTTCACATTTGTAATATTTGTTGCAATCACATTCGTGTTCTTTGTAGGCGCCGTTTTTGCAATCTTCTCTAGGACATTTTCCTTTTACGCATTTCTTCTTTTCCTTATCGAAGTACCTTCCTTTATCACATTCTTTCAAAATCTTCTTGCCACGTTTGCACTCGTAATACTTATCGCATTTGCATTCGTGTTCCAATATTTCTTTGTTCTTACACGCTTTTTCTTTTCCGGAATCTTCACATTTCTGACCATTAACGCAACTTAATGTTTTGTTGCTGAAATGTTCATTTGAGTTACACTCACGCAGGATCTTCTTGCCTTTCGAGCACTCGTAGAATTTTTGGCAATCACATTCGTGCGGCAAAAGGTCATCATCGTCTTCGCAATCTGTCGGTAGAACAGGATCATCGCATTCTGATTTTTCAGGGGCAACGCAGCCTTTCCATTTTTCACTAAAGTACAAATCGTTCGGACAAGTGTGTGAAACTTTTCGACCGTTTTTGCACTCGTAGAACCGAGTACAGTCCTTTGCATGAGGCAAATATATCGGCGGGCAAGGGTCTTTTGCTGGACAGTCTTTATCTTTAAACGTGTCAAAGATGATATCGCTGATGATGTTTTGAGCGGCTGTCACGGTCCAGCATGCCAAGAAGGCGATGACGATTAAGTTAATTTCTGTAAAAATCAAAACACATAGAAATTACATATGTTGTTTTACTTACGACTGACTGTAATTGCAATTTTAAAACGCTATGAATGAATTTAAATTAACAAAAAAATACTCGACACACACACAAAGTTCAAAAAGACTCAAGAATATTGTGACAAATTTTTGTTAAGCGTTTCGATACTCACCTTTCATCGTCGGTTCGCCTATCCCACCAACGCTTGAAGAACAGAAAATAGATCGTTTATTGCAATGATACCGCACTAGCTCTTATTACGATCCGTTTGACCAGTTGAATTAAGGCGTATCGGGCTTTTATAAATATGCATCACGTTATCGCAAAGCACAAGGACAGATTATCATATCTATCAAAAAAATAAAGACGTATTATATTTGGGGGGGAACCGTTCTCCTTCCACGAACAATATGATCGTGAAACTTTTACAATGAAGAGAATGCGTGATTGAGAATGCGTGAACGTACTAAAAAAAAGTGAGTTATTTATTACAAAATAAAATAAAATAAATATTAGAAAAGAAAAGAAAATAAATATTTTTTATCGATTTATATAAAACCGCGTATAACACAAATCAAATAACACAATCAAATAACACAAATCCTAAAATTGTAAATCTTATGATATTATCGATTAATATTATTTCAATGAGATTATTTAAAAGAGAGAACAAAAAAAGAATTTTAGGCCTATTTTAGTTTTACATCGATTGTTTTACATCGTGTTTATATTTGTGTGTGTTTAATGTAATAAGATCGCGGAAATTTTATATGGATTTTTACTACTGCAGTTTGCTGAGGGTTTCTGAATTTACAGATCTTTCACTTGGCAGCTCTATAATATAACATTTATTATATTTATTATTTATAATATTTATAATATAATATGTGACAATGAAAATTCGTACGATCTTGAAAATATCTCTTATCTCCGGAAGAGTGAGTTATCAATTACAATCACGTTTTTTTATCGTTCACATTTCGCGAAAAAAAATTATTGTGCATGACGAATTTAGGCCATGAGCAAATGAATAATCTTCGTGCAATTAATTTTGAATTGATGAGTTTTCGAAAAAAAATTATATTTAGATTTTACATTCTCTTATTTCTTGTATCATGTTGAATGTTACTTATAAAAAAAAAATATATATATATATATATATACACATGGCTTATGTTTGACGCACAGATAAAATGAAGAATATAAAAAATTAATTAAATCGTCAAGATAAATCTCGATTACAACTTTCGATTAGATAAATCGATCGCGATAAAATATCATGCATTAGTATTCTTGATTTAATAAATAGAATATAGTCAAGTCATAATTCGCAATGATTCATCGATATTATGTGACAAAAACAAGCAAAAAAATATCACAAAATCAAGTTTAATAAAGTGCTGTGTTTCTTCACGACATTTGTAGGGTATCAAAATTATTATTACGTGCAAAGTATTGAAAGATCCCGCGCGAAACAACATTTCACACAAACCTCTATTAAATATCTCTGTCAGACATTACATGGAGTTACGGACGTCCACTAAATGTCTAATGGACGTCTCGTATTTGTTATAGGGAAGAGCGCATATTTTATTAAAGTTTTATCACATCAGCAATTCATGGTGCCAAGTTCGTGATAGATTCTTGAAATTTTTATGTAATCTTTTGATGTCAATCGCGAAACCTTGAAATTTTTAAGTGGGAATATATCTTGAAACGATTGTACTCCCGGTTTTCTATCAGAACGTGTAATCTGTAAGGCGGTGTACGACAACCCTTTAATTAAGGAGTAAAAATTTAAGTGTGAATTTAATTAAGTTTACTAGAACTATTGATACGCACTTTTAAATAGTGCCAACTTGATTAATTATTGTTATAAATCACAGATATTATCGTGTGATTCTCTGTAATATTTTTTTCAAAGATCAGAATAAGATGCTATCGTAATGGATGGATTTCTACTTCCTTTGAAGTCTGCGATAGCAATAATTATCATAAAATCTTAATGAGTTACGCGAGCAATTTCGAAACAATATTGTTAAACAGTAACATTTTATTACGACAATATACGATATTATAAACAGATGTAAATGATGATTCAAAATTTTGTATTGTTTTTAAAAACCGCGATAAAAAATCGCGCAACACAATCTAAAAAAAAAAAAAAAAATCCTGTACACAATAAACAGATTGATTTTGTAAGATTCGTCTTTGTTTTGTATTTATAATGCAACAAAAATAAACTGACGTTTAAAGCGTCCAGTCACACAGGAAAGATTGCAAGTACACGTGTACGTAAATGCGCAAAAAATGTGCATTCGTATTCAATCTAGAGAATACATCTTTTCTTAAACGGAAATTTCTGATACTCAAGTTGTATATATCATAAAATGTGTACGTATTCGCGTGAATCGCATATCAGATTTTCGTGTTTCTTTTAAGTGTGTTTTGATTATCTTTTGTATCTCGTAACAGGTACGTCACGAAATTATGAGTAAGGTATAAGCCGTTCTTCCCTCCGCTTATCTTCGTGTCGCTGATACCCAAGTTTTGATATTTCACAATATCTTTGGCATCCGGCTAGCTAGAGAGCGCAAAGTACAGATTCCATTAAAGTATTTTGAATGATGTGATAGACATCACACACGTGTTCCTTCGTTAATAAGCGTAAAGTATTGCGTCGAATTACGCACAGTGATGCTTTATACATGTACATGCCTATTACACTTTGGTCTTCGCCGAAAATCGCGAAATAAGAGAACAAATTTAAAATTAAAATTCTTCTCGTCCTACGATATCAAGCAATGAGTTCTTTTACGAAAATAAAATATTTTAATGTTCGGAAAAGCACAGGCTTTTGCATATTTATTATTGTTATTGTATATTATTACAATTACATGTATTATTTTCAGAAAAAGACATTAATTAAATTTCCACGCATAATCCACGCATTAGCCGGATCAGCAGACAGGACGCGTCAACGCGACTCTGATTGAATCCATCTCCATGTCTCTTCTGTTTTTGTTTCGTTTCAATATAACTTCCAGCGCGTGGTGAAAGGCCTAGTTTACACCGATCGTTTAATACGCGTATTAAGTATTATACACATATAAATATTAAATTAGCTCGATCTCAATAACGTAAACGATGTCATATTAAGCTGGTACGATACGCCCTTCTTCACGCGAATTGTATCAAAATGGTACGCGTATCAAGCACATTTAATAATGATGTAAACATCAAAATTATACATTGCAAAACAAATTTTATTTGATTAGCGTAACCAAAAAGATATATGATGTAAATTAGGCCAAAGTTAACCAGAATTTAACTGGTTTGCGATTAGTCAGCACGTGAGTCTTGACGCGTGTGTCTCGTGTGCGGGCGCCGTAAAGATTCGTAAAGTTCCTGATATTTCCCACAAGAGGTCTCTCTCACCGTCGAGTCTTGAAATGAGTACGACAATCTATCTCGACTTGCTCCGATAAGGCCAAACAAGTTCGAACAAGCTTTTCTATATATATCGTGCGTGTTTATGACAAGTTAAAAACATGGCTGCTGCGTGAGAAAATAAATTGATTGGATTGCGTGTTGTAAACAAAAATATTGCCACTTGGTTTGTCACGGTGGTTTAGCGTTTCGCGACCGCACGAGTCGCGTTGCTGCACGAAGAACATTTCGAATGGCACACGTTTGATCGAAAAACGGCGAAAAACTTCCGGAAATAAAACGCGCGAATATCACACGGGCAACAGCACGGATTCTGTGCCTTCCACAGATTTATTTCTAAATCGCGTTTTCTTCGCTCGTTATCTGAAGAAGCTTTCGTATCGGTGCAGATGATGCAGGTGAATTGTCAAGGATGTATGGAACTGTTGCATTTGTAACAATTGTTGCTCCCTAACCATAACTGTAATCTGTTTAACTGTACATTTGTATTGCAGGTGTAGTTGGGAAAGTTCTGAGAAGTAGAATGTGAAGAGTGGCGCAGAGAAACTTTATCATTCCCAAGGACATTGTTTTCTAATCCAAATCATCCATGGATATTGCAGATTTTGATATGATTGTGCGCCATCCAAAAGTCATCGTCCACTTGGATGTTGACTGTTTCTATGCACAAGTAGAGATGCTCAGACATCCGGAGTTTGAAGGAAAACCTTTGGGTGTACAGCAGAAAAATATAGTAGTCACTAGCAATTATCTGGCCAGAGAATATGGGATAAAGAAATGTATGCCTGTGAGGGAAGCTTTGAACTTGTGTCCCAAGCTGGTTTTGATAAATGGTGAAGATTTAACAAACTATAGACATTATTCCAATAAAATATTTGAAATTCTGCATCAGTTTACACCATTGGTAGAAAGATTGGGTTTTGATGATAATTACCTTGATGTAACATCACTAGTGGAGAAGCACATGAAGTCGCAAAATGATTCAGAACTTGAAATGAGTAGTTTGAGTACAGAAAAGGATTTGAAACAACCAATTCATGAAATATTTGGTCCATATGAAGAGGAATGTCCATGTGGCTGCCACATTCGCTTGATGATGGGCTCTAAGATAGCTTTTGAGATTAGATCGCGTATTTACAAGGAATTACATCTTACTTGCAGCGCTGGAATAGCACATAACAAGCTTCTGGCTAAATTAGCAGGATCTGTAAACAAACCAAATCAACAGACACTGATATTTCCATGCAGTGGTCCAATGTTGCTCTCTACGGTAGGCTCTGTATCCAAAATACCTGGTGTTGGACAAAAAACTACGGAATTATTGTTGTCAAACAACATAAAGACAGTAGATGATGTGCGTAGAATACCTTTGGAAAATCTGGAATTGAAAATTGGCGTTGATTTAGCGAGAAGATTGAAGGATAACGCAGAAGGCATCGACGACACATTGGTGAGACCATCTGGGAAAAGACAATCTATAGGCCTGGAAGATGGATTTAAAAACGTGTCACTCGTAGCTGAGGTAGAGTCGCGATTGAGCGCGTTACTAAGAAGATTAACGGAGCTGGCTATGGAAGATGGTAGAATTCCCATTGCCATGAGAATAACAGTAAGAAAACAAGTCTTGAACAAACCTACTTCCGGCAAAAGAGAAACTAGACAGTGCGCGTTGCCGAAGCATCTCTTACCGTCTACAAAAATGGGTGTGTACGATCATGCTAAACTGCTGAAGCTTGCGATGAAGCTGTTCCATCGAATTGTTGACGTCTCCAAGCCATTCCACTTGACGCTGCTGGGAGTTGCGTTCACCAAGTTCGAGGAGAGAGCCAATGGTCGGAGCAGCATCACGTCTTTCCTGCGCAAACAGGTGGCCGTCGATTCCGTATTGGACATCAGCTCCGAGGAGGGCATACCCGAAGCGAATTTGGGATCACCTATGAGTATTAATCAAGATAGCAACGATAGTTCGGATCACTCAGCGACCGGCTTGATAAACATGTCCGCGTCGAGTCTCTCATGCTCACCGATTTCGAAATCGCCGGGTGTGGCGAATCAAGGTCCGGAGGACGATTTGCTGAACGAGGTGGAACCACTGCCGAAGAAGACCAAGCTGGAAGTGTGGCTTAGCGGTCGTCGGGAATCGCCAAGCAACGAAATGGCCGATCTCAGGCTGAGCCCGTCGTCGCCCATGCAATTGTCCCCTACGGTGGACGCCGCGGTTTTCAAGACATTGCCCATCGAGAGGAGAGATGTCACTCGTTCTTGGCCCACAACCAGCAAACCGAAACCAAACAATATACTTAAATTCTTCATAGCTAATAAGTGACGGAGCTCTGTAACTTAGTATTAAATCTCATCACTTTTACATACACTCTTTTTAATCCATACAATATTTAATGTCAGCACCGCATACGGAGCGCATTCTTGTTGTGCGCGTTTTAATTACTCGCATTTTTAGACAACAAAAAAACGTGTACGTGTTCAGTTGCATTTAAATATTTAAGTTTAAGGAGATTTTCACATATACACGATTAAAATAACGGGCGATTAAAATAACGATATCATACCTTTGTAGTAATTATCTTTATGTCACACTTTTTTACAGTATTTCCAGCAGCAAAAACAAAATGAAATTTATTCCGTCTCCGGTTTAATTTTAATATTTCATTTTCTTTTATGTTAGGTTGTGTACATGTGTAGAAATATATGATTTTAATTAACTCAAACGAAACACACACACACAGGAGAGAAACTGTACAGCGTAAATAATATTTCTGTGAAAATTTTATTTTTATTGTTATTTTTTATATCTACATATATATATTTATAAGCAAGGTGCTGGCATTCAATGTTGTGACTCACGCGACGAATGAAAATTATATATACTTTAATATTTTAAGAAGAGAATTCTATTTTTAGTACTGTTAAACGTTATATATATATATATTGGCTTATTTTATAATATACGCGACAAATATCACGAATTACGTGAGAGAAATACTCAGTTAATCCCCGTCAGAAATGGCGCGGAGCTGCTTTAAGATATTAAAACAAAAAAAAAAAAAAACAAAAAAAAACAAGCTATATAAATATACATGTGATTACACGCGAGAAAGATATACTCTAGACAATCATAAAGTTTTAATACCGTTTCAGTATGGTGCACAATGATTATCACATGCATACACACACCACACACACATGACACTTATATATAAGTAAAAATTAAAATAAAATATGTGTGTATGTACACATGTATTGATTATATTATATACATAATATTATAAACATATTATATATATAATATATATATATATATATAAAATATTTATATATATACATATATATACACGTTGAGAAAAAGCACCATCCATCGTTATATTGAGCGTGAAACATCCGTGATGTAAGTTGTAATTTTATTTTTTACAGATACTTAAAAGAAACACTTGTTGCATATGGCGAGTCAATCGCAGGTGATAATTCGAAACAATGTAGTTTTTGTATGATAATTGAGATGTTCACACTACAACTTTTAAAAAAACGAGGCGCAGTGAGAGAAAGAGTGTGTGAATGTGCGAGAGAGAGAGAGAGAATAATGTATGTGTGTTTGTATGTACAAGCGATATATAAAAGCATAATGGAATATAAAGGCACAACTGAGCTTTTCTATCTTTATTTATTTATGATATATGTATATTAAAAAAAAAAAACAAAAAAAAACGGTATAGTTTTATTTTAAACTTCAGGTTGTGAGTACACGCATATTTTATACACAGACTTTGTTTAGGGCGGGAACGCAGCGTTGTGTGCGAAATCGCGCGCTTGTCAACGTCGAGGTCGAGTTCAACCGCGGAACCTCGCGTCTGGAATAACAATGCGCCGAGAGAGGTCCACTGCGCCATGACGTGGTGTTGTGTGAAGGCGACTTTGACTTTTTCAAGCGAAAGTGTAATGCCGCCGCTAGCATTATTTCCGATTTATATTACAATAAAAATAAAAAAAAAAAAGAACAATCTTCGAATTGAAACGATTTTGTTTCTCCACGACCCGAAGTTCCTTACGAAGCAACAAATAAATTAACCAACTATGCGATAGCGAGAATATCTCGAGATTTTCGATTAAATTTTGTTCTCTCGCTACTTTATCGCTTCTCGAACGAATCAGCTGAGATTATTGAAGAATTTTGCAAATGCATACATGTGAAAAAGCGCGCGTTTTATCGGGTCATTAGACCCGATAAACATATCAGTTGAGCGACAAGAGTGACATTTAAGTTTAGTTTCAATTGCAAATGTCTAAGCAATATCATATTCACTGAACTTGAATAAACAACAATGTTGTCACAATTGCGAGAGATAACGCGGTGCGTAACATATTTCAAACGCGAAGTATTATTCTCAGTTATTGGTAAAAATAATTTCACAAATGTCAGAGACAACAAACACTTCGCAGAATGCCGAAAACAATAAGAATCTCATTAAATGAATGCAGACTAGAAAAATTTGTTTTTTTTTTTTTTTTTTTAAATTACATCTTAATGCGCAATTAAAATGCATTTGTAGGTCGTTCTCTTTGAACACTAATGATAGTTAACTTATGTCCGGTTATAAATTTTCGTAATTAGTGACATATCGCGTTTTACCTATCGCGTCGTACGTGAGATACATCGGGGATTTGTCGGTGTTTTCCTTTTTCACGACCAGTATCTGACCTAAATTTAAATGCTCGGTATATTTCCTTATAAAGTGCCCGCGTATCCTTTATCCCGCGCGTGTATATAAACTCCGATGTTTAGAACGAGGGTCAAATTTGACGCCCAAACTTGACTTGGTAAACACACGGGAGCTGTTCGTTGTCTGTCAAACATGTTGCCGATTATTTGCTTCTTGTGCGTTATTGCGATACGTGGACTGTCAGGTATAAAACCGTTAAGTATGTTAAAAATGAAAAAAATTAAGAATTTATGTATATAAGTTTCTTAAATTTTGTAACAAAAAAATATACAGCAAAAAGATTATATTTCGAATTTTTGTAAAGTTTTACGTGCAAAATCGTTAACAAAATTTGACGAACGTATCGAAAATAATTCTTCGGTCATAAACAAGATTGTTTTATTTTATATATTTGTTTTTATAAATCACCACAGCTGAGATGTCCAATGAAAAACCAAAAATCGTAGGCGGTAACGCCGCCGCTGAAGCCCAGTTCCCTTATCAGGCGTCTCTTCGTTATCGCAACCGTCACTTCTGTGGCGGTTCCATCATTCACAAGCGATGGATCCTTACAGCCTCTCACTGTTTATCTGGGTACGTGCGTCATCACGACAGAAGTCGATTACAGACAGAAAGATGTGCTGTGTTTTTATGTAATTTCATTTAACAGTTTCAACGATACGGCTATCAACGTCGTTTTGGGCACGAACACTTTGGACAAGGGTGGCGACGAGTACACCTCAATAAAGACATTGATGCATCCTTACTACAACTCCGCCTTTATCTGGAACGACATCGGATTAATTCAACTGGACAAGGATATTGTTCTCGGTGACAAGGTGAAACTAATCGATCTGCCCACTCAGAACTTCGACAAATCCGATTATCCGGCAACGCTGTCCGGTTGGGGTACGACTAGTGTAAGTATATAAAAAAAAAACTAAAATTAACAATCACACATTCATGTTATTAAAAAATAAACAATTAAATTATAACATTTTCTTTTCGTTCCACTTCGATTACCCTTGCGCGTGCCATGTTGTAGTATCCGGGGGAAACGCCGAACGAGTTGCAGTACCTCGAGCTTATGGTCATCAGTCAAAAGCAGTGCTCGAGAACCAGCTATCGCGTCACCAAAAACAATATCTGCACACTCAACAAACAGGGCGAGGGTGCTTGTCACGTAAGTGCATTCCATTCTGGTCGAGTATTCAGAAAGAGGCCCCTCTGTCATAAAGAGACGTTCACGCTATATTAGATTAGCAAGATTAAAATCTAATACAGCGCATTAAAAATACTTAATTGATTAAAGACTTATTCCAAACGATCATTAAAAAACGAGTGTCTAACAAAACGCAAGGATTCATGTGCTATATAATGTTGTACGTTTTTACGCAAAAAACATCGAGTGAAGAGATTATTTTTCAGTAATTAGAAATTAGTTAATTAGCGTGAATGATAGAAGAAAGTTAGTGTCCATGTTCAGAGAAAATTTAGATACGTCGTTTTTCAATGCAGGGTGACTCCGGCGGTCCTCTGGTGGCCGATGGTGAGCAAATCGGCGTGGTATCCTGGGGTGTACCTTGCGCCAAAGGACGTCCCGACGTTTTCACAAGGGTCTACCCATATTTGGAATGGATTAACAAGCACATAAAAGGCAACAATACCGTATAAGACTCTCTTTACAAATTGACGATGAAAATACAATTTCTGTACAATACACAATAAACGTGTCTCAAAGAACATAGAATTTTTTTTATTTTCGCTCGTTCGCGTCAAGAGGTTGAAGTCTCCGCTGGAAACTTTTATTCAATATCGCAGCCGCGCCTGCGGCTGGGAGACTAAACACGCGTGCTTTGTCGGCTGTGTTTCGCGAATTTGTTTTCGTTCGAGCAACTCGAAACCGCAACGCTTTGCCTCTGTGTGTACGCGCGCGCTGCATATTGGATGCAATACATCTAACGTTTCAAATAAAATGCGAAAGCTAAAACAGAAGCACGACACAATTGTGTGTTGCGAGAAATTATTAAGAATTACGGCACAATTGTGTTTGTGTGATTTTTTGTTTTACGCGAGTGGAAACAGAGGTCGCGGGACATAAATTCACACGCGTTTCTAGTTCAAGCAATACGGCAATAACGCAGCAAGTAACGCGATCTAAATTAGCTAGATATTTTGCAATTGCGCATAATTGACATTAGCATAATTTGAACAGACTTCGGCTCCGCGCTCGTCCGAATTAGGTTTCTAGTCGCGAACAATCGTGTAATAACAAACATTCGGCGAGAAAAGCAAAAACTATACTTTTTTTATCGTAACAAATTTTTTTTAAAACGTGTCTGTTCACTGTATCGCGTGAAAAATAAAAAATCGTCACATTGCGCGCCGTTTCTCGCCAATGGACGAGTTCAAGGAAGTAGCGTGAAATCCTGGCCGAAAGATTTCGGTCAAGCTCCTAATGACCCATTTCCAGTCGGCGCATGCTCGTCACTCGAACGCATCCGACATCGCTTTCGAGGGTGAAAAACGTCGCGGTCGCGCCAACGCGTGTGGAGGCGGTTTACTTGCGCGCGGCGCGGAGCAAGAGGAAGAAAACATAATAACCCGCAATTGATCGGCGAAACCGAGGTCGTTTCGCAAACTAGAGGTGCGATCTCGCGAAATGATAGAGATTACAAACGCGATTCCCCAATTCTCGCGAGTCTTTTGTCGCAAGAAAACTTTTTGCGACAAGAAAGAAAAAATTGTTTCCCGCAAAAGATACACGAAAGAGACACATTTCCGGAGGTCTGCTTGAATCCAGTTGTTTAAGAGGTTGAAATAAAAAAAAAACTATGAAAGATGCATCAGGACACGCGCATCCTGGGCCAACCCCAATAATCGCGACTGTTGCCTTCGCCAAGTCGAATAAATCGCGCGTCGCGTGACCTAAATAGCGCGACGAGCGCGCGTGCGCACAACCCGCGTTCTCGAGGGTGTGTTTTCATCCCCGCTTTGCCTCCCCCGTCCTTCCCGAGAACTCGCTCGTCATCGTTGTCGTCGTCGCCGCCATACAGTAGCGAAAGGCGACACAGCTGGTGCTGGTGACAAGCGCCACAAAGCGGATCCGCTTATTCTTGCGAGCGAAAAAACGGGGTGCGATCATGGTCTCGATGAAATCGCGCCTTCTGTGAGACACCGATTCGATTTTGTCGTCGTGAGCAATGTAACGTCACAGGAGAAAAAAAAACGTCCTTGTCCGGTGAGTATCCCTGGACGTGACGGCGTCCTTTGACCTGCTTTCGGCAAACAGGATCCGCGTTAGCGCTCGTTCGATGATTCCGTTTCTTTTTTTTTTTTTTTTTTTAACCCGCGTTTGAATCGCGTAGATGTGCGTTTTCGATTTCTCTCTCGAAACAATCGTACGTGTAATTTTCGCGTGTGTGTGACATGCGCGAAAACTTGTATACGCGTTACGCCGAGAGTAACGTGAGCGGATGAGAGAAAACGATGCGAAACTGTAAAACTTCGCAAGTTCGGAGGTGGATCTTACTAGTTCTTTGGTCTTGAGATTTTATTTTTCTCTGTTATCGCGCGCGTGTGTGTGTGTGTGCATTTCAAGATAATTAATTTGTTTCAAACAAAGATAGTTTGAAAAAGAAAAGTGTAAGAAATTTACTCGTTCTCGTATTGTTTTTGTTCAAATCATAGATCGAAGTTCGACGAAGCAGGTGTCGCTTAAGAGACAAAATCTTGTTTGTTACTTCCCAGACAGCCCGGGGGTTAATGCACTAACGAACGCGTTTAACGGAGCGCGATAGTCTGTCGTGAAATGTTGATACCGCATTGATACGGTTTCTCCGTCCGACGGACGTCGCTTCTCTCACCGTTTGTTTATGTACGTACGTGTAAACCCTCGATCGCTCGCACAATTCATTTGCACGGTATCGATTTCAGATAAAAAGTCTCCGAAGAGGATCATCTTCTTTTCTGGATTCAACAAAACCAAACACAGCAACATGTTCGCGCAATCAAATCGTTTTGTGAGACAAGTGTAAAACGTTTGTCATCTGTTTTATTTCGCGCAACAAAATATCGAAGATTAATACTTAAAGAAGAATCGCTTATATTTTCAAATAAAGGAAGCAAATAAGTGGAAATATCACGACTATGTGAGCTTATTCTCGATCAAGGAGTACAACTCGGATCGTACGGATATAAACGAAAGTTCGCTGTAATCAAGAAAAGCTTCATGAGCTGCTGCCCTTTCATGTGAGTGAGGATCATTTTATTTCCCATTTTCCACAGAGCGCGAAATATTGCCAAGAAACATTGCAAGAATATTGCAATATCGCCGCATGTCACAAATATTGCAGGAACGTGTCTGCTAACAAGTTTGGAATTATTTCGGCATCGTCGCAGGGGAAGTTATATGTTTGGGAGCGGACGTATCTATACCGCGGTGATCTTTCAGAAATTTCGCGTGCAAAATTGGTTCTTGCGGGACCAAACGGTTCCCGCAATGTTCCGGCGATATTCCGTGCTGTGCGAGAGTTCGTTTCCGTTTATAAATTCGTTTCTTTTTGACAGAAGAAATTTAACAGTCTTCTTTGTGATATCTCAAATCTCCGAGAATCTGTATGTGCGATTCTACACACACGTACACATACACACATTCTCTCTCTCTCTCTCTCACGCATACATTGTGATTATACCACTACAAGAAGAGCGCAAACACGCCGGTCGCTGCACCTTTCGAGAGACGACTGCGCAGTAGAGAATTCGTGACCGTGTGCTATACGCGTTTCTTTATGCCGTGATGTGTTGTCTATCTCTCCCACGCTCTCCTCTGGATTTCAAACCGAGTCTTCGTCGCACTCGAAGACCGTCCGTGGCAACTATTCCTTTTCACATTACCGGCGCCGCGGCAAATTCTCAGGAGCGTATTTGCGGACCTAACCAGCGAAGTTCTTTAAAAAAAACAAAAATGTCCTAAACGTATATTATCGAAGATAAACGAGACAATTCTATTTAGATTGCGAAGCATTCTGTATTCGCGCTAAAATGCGTGTATGCTTAAGCAATGCTTAAAAAATCCCGCAATTTTCGTCCTCCACTCGACTATCGAGTCCTCCACGTGACTACTTTTCAGGTTTGTGATTTGGTCACGTGTGCGATACGCGCGCGTAATGGGGGAGGATCGAGATGGTGGGAAAACTCTAATGATTTTGAATCGCTAGATTCTAAACACGCATATATAAAAATTGTTATGTGAGATAATCTTGAGGTAACCGAGTCGATCGCTTCTTGCGCGCTAATTGTGGCTCGTATTAATTTAATTTAACATCTTAATAACTATTGCAAATTTCGCAAAATTGCGCAGTTGACTTTTCTGCTCGGATTGGCCAAATCTATCCTCCAAACGCTGTGTTAAAAAGTATCAAATATCCTGTACATTCGCGTGCACTTGCGCTTGTTACAGCACTGCCTTCGGTGCCGGCTGTGGCGGGCAGCCGCGGGCGACGAACGTGCGCAGCTGTGTGCGAACGTGAGTCGCTCTTTGCTGCGCTCCGCAGCTGATGCGGCTCGTCGTACTGGCGTCGTGCTGTTGCGCGCACATCGTGTGTTTGTTTATTAAAAATGCGTCGTATCGAAATTCGACGTTGAACTCGGAAACTTGCAATCATTTCTACACAATTGGGACCGTATGTACATCAGCGTATTGAGTGATCGCGACCAGGGTTTCTCGCGTGAATTTCGGCGAAAAATTCGGACGACGAGGAATCTCCGTTGCGCTTAATCAGTTGGTGATGCGACGCGCGGAATTGACGGACGCGGTGTGCGTGAGATCATCCTCTCCGGGTACGGCGGGACCGGGTCCGAACAATGGGTTGTGAGCAGCGAAGGTAGACAAAGAAGGGCCTGTGCTGACACGCGTGACTCGCTCTCTCTTCGTGGTCGCCGCGGATGGCCGCGTTGTTACCAAGTGTCTCCGCGGTAGCCGCGGGCTGCATTTATTTATACATGCGCCAAGGAGAGACACGCGATTGCTAGCGTGAGAGACGCGTGTGGCACTCGTACAATGCATATTTGACGATAGTTTTTTAGCCACGAGGCGAGTTGGTGGTGTGTCGTCGTGCACGCCGTAGGGTCGTCTGTTGCAATTCCACGGCTTTGTTGCGTTTTTCTCCGTTTTTTTTTTTTTTGTCCCCGGCAACGTGACAGCGAGGGTGACAGGCGAGATGCATTTTGGATTCCTCAGAATTTCCAACGAATATTCGTAGCGAACACTGAAGGACAGCGTGCACTGAACACGAGAAACGTGCGTTATAGAGCACGATCTGAATTTTGTATAGCCGTTATGGAGGCATTGCGCTTAGCTATACAGTGAGTGTCCCTTCGCAACAATTTTGCGCCCTGAAACAAATTATAGTCTTTTATTGCATTTATGTTTAAACGCGCACGAGGTAATATCGCAGAAACATCACGAGGATTAATGTCTGTATTTTTAAAATATTGTAAAAAACTTTGCGTTGTATTATTTAAAGAGACACGATTTAATTTTTTAAGCTTTTGATATATAAATCTATTTCGTACACTATATTTTTTAAATATTTCACATTCCTAATATGTTTTTAATGTTCGAATAATTTTGATCTTTAGAATGATATTAATAGTTTTTAAACGTCGTTTTTATGACGACTTGTTTTCAACAGTGATTGTTTTTTTTTTTTTACCAGGACGCGGCTTGGGGAGAGGATGGTCAGCATGAGCTCCATGCTTGTGGAGACAGTTAGTATAAATTACGAGGATTTCAACGAGAGTTTCTTGACCTGTGGCACCTGCCTCTGTGTTTACGATGGCAGCGAGCACACGCCGAAATTATTACCATGCTCACATACGGTATGATTTATATATAAAATAAGAAAAATATATAAAAATTATATTTACTTCTTATATATATTTAGATATTTCAAAATAATTTTATATTTCTGTTGTAGGTATGTCTACATTGTTTGACAAGAATTGCCGCGTCCCAAACACGGGAGACGGGAGCATTCAGATGTCCCATTTGCAGAGAACTGATAACAATACCACGCGGAGGAGTGGCCGCGCTGCCTCCCAGCTTTTTGGTAAACCAACTGTTGGACCTCATGTCACGACAGAGACGAGAGGTATGATCAAACACAAAATGAGAAGAGCAAATTCTTCTCAACCTCGTTATCAACCAACTCATGTTATTATTGTTATTCATTCGCAGGTCATCCCAAAGTGTTCGGTTCACATAAATCAGGAATTATTATTTTGCGAGACGTGTGATACAGTATTCTGCACGGTGTGTACCAGTGGGACACACGCGGGAACGTCACCTGGTTGTACAGAACATACCATCATTCCCTTTAGCATCGCGATCAAACGGATGTCCGAGATACTGCTGTACAGAGCCAACGAATGTATATCTAAGGTGAAAATCTCTCTGATTCTTTCAAGAGATTTGTTTCAAAATATCTTTCACAGTCTATTGCCAAACAGACTGCCAAAATATTTGCGTATTGATTAACTTACAGGAGTTATTGTTAAATTGTAAAAAAAAATTATAAGACACGTGATTTCATTTATTAAGAGTTGCAATTTTTAGTTAACACAGGCACAGGATTCTGTGAGCACCGAACTTCAACGTTTGGAAGCTACCACAGAGAGATGTTTAAACGCGGTAGACACAGAATTCGCGGGGATCATCGAGAAGATACAAAAACGTCGCGCGGAATTGCAAGCCGCCGTGACCGCCGCCGCGCGCGAAAAGAAGCACGTGCTCGAGGAACAACATTCTCTCATCGAGGCGGAGAAAACCAAGGTGGAGAGAGAGTGCGAGGGATTGCAATATCAGGTAGAGGATAACAAAAAAAAAAAAAACGCGTCGATATGTACTTCCCGCGCGTATCTCGTTACACAGTGAGATTTGATCTTGAAGGTCGAGGTTCGGAATATCACCCAGCGTATTGGCAGTCTGTCGGATCAGTTGAAAACGGCGACCGACCTCAGCGAGCCCAAGGAGAACGCTTTTATCACGTTCGAATTCAATCATAACGACGCTATCTCTCAGTTGGAGCAAGCACTGAGTAATTTGGGACGAGTACGTTCTAGTACGACATTACCAGGTATCCTAAGGATATTGATAATACAACGAAGTATTCGCTCTAATTCATTTGTTGAAACGCCGTGTTTCACATCAAGCGCATCTGATCAAAAGTTACTCGCACTTCAAAATTTTGTGAACTTTCTATTTTTTTTTAGGTCTGTGCCGAGCCAAACTGAAAGACGAGGCGATAGCGAAGCTGCAAACGACCGTCGTAGTCCAAACGGTGGATTATCACGGACTTCCCCGTAACGTCGGTGGCGATCTCATCAGCGCGGAAATAACGTTCGCGGATAATAACATGCACGCGGAAAATCAAAACGTTCCTATCGAAACGGAAGTGAAGGATTTGGAGAACGGCACCTATGAGATCTATTTTCGACCTCCGGCTGCGAGCCGATACGTTTTAAAGGTATCGGTGTTCGAACGTCCTATAAAAGATTATCCATTATTTTTCGACACGACCGAGCATAACGAACCTGTCAAAATATATGGGGCACGCGGTAACGGAAAGGACGAGTTCCATCAACCAGTTTCAGTCGCGGTGGATGATGAAGGAATGATTTACATCTTGGATACTGGGAACTCCCGCATCAAGGTTTGTTTGTAAACTAAATATTCAATCGTTTGATACAGCAAGATAAACATCTGATTCTAATTTTCGTGCTGCTTCAGGTAGTCAATTGCGATTTGGAGTTTGAACGGCACATAAACAATGAAGGTCTAGAGGGTCGCAGCTGTACAGGGATAGATATTTCTCAGCAAGGTCTCGTGGTTGTGAATTGGCGAACGCGAAAGATTACGGAAATGACTACGCTGGGCGATACAATCCGATCCTTTTCGCATAACGCGTTTCAAGTTGGTATACTCACTCTTGCTTGTGCGTTTTATCCCACGAAGGTTGATAACTTCTAATTGCGATGTTGTTCAGGAACCCATAGACATCGCAGTGGACCAAAGTTACGGGCACATACTTGTCGCTGACAACGGCCAGAGTTGTGTATTTGTGTTCGACTCGGACGGCAAGATATTATTTCAGGTAGAGGCTTTGTTTACTCGGTTACGAACTTTCGGTGTAAATTTCTTGTATAAATGGCCATTATGGAACGTTGACAGGTTGGCAAGAAAGGCACGTTCAAGCTAATTAGTTCTGTAACCGTCGGTCCAGCGGGTGAAATCTTGGTTGCCGATAGCAGAATTCAAGTGTTCTCCGCGAAAGGCGATTTCTCCGAGGAAATATATTCTGAAGGCAAAGGTAAGTCGCGATTGTTTGTTTATCTGAAGACAATTAAAAAGAATTTGGAAAAACCTCAGTGGAAAGGTGGACAGGCAGTTTACTTGAGCACAACACGGCAACGCTCAATTGTTTAACAAAAATTGACAGTTTTAATTGTTTAACGTGTGCAGGAAAAGGTACCTACGGAGGAATAGCGGTGGACGCGGACGGCAAGATAGTCGGCACTCGCACGGACAAGGGTCGTAGCGTAATACAAGTATTGAAGCTAGGCGGAGGTAATGTTTTAACCGAAATCGATTCCCACAGCTCGAAACTGCGACGTCCAGCGGGTATAGCTGTGCTGCCCGACAATCACTTAGTGGTGGTGGACTTGGGCAATGATTGTATAAAGAAATACAGGTACTGGTAAAAAAACAAAACAAAAAAAAAAAACCATTATCTTTTCGTGAAAATTTAACTTGCAAGCGGATGGGAGAAGATCCGTTGCGAAGATACCAAATTCACTCTAATTTAGGACTATTTATTCAGATTTTTCTGGAATTTGTCAAGTTCCATATTACACGTAAGTTACGCGAGGATTGTAAATCCTACGTTTCTATGCGAACTTTTTGTATATAGTTTATACATTGCAATAACACACGAGAGAGACGTAATTAACGTAATGTCAGAAAGTTCAATTTGTCTCGCAACATGTATACCGTGTCTGTCAATTTTTTTTTTAATTGCATTTATTTATAACATTTAATTTATTTTGCGTGTGTTTTTTTTTTATTCAACTGTTGTTGTCGCGCGGCAAGGTTTCCTCATGTACAGTGAATATCGCTCAGTACTTATACTTTTTGCATTTTGTGTTCTCGCAATTTAATCTATACACTGCCGTTTCACGCGTTTGTTTTTACATCTTTGCCATAAAATGAAATACGTTGCAATGCATAAAGTCAACTACACGTGTAAATATATTGCTTAAACATTAAATTCGAAGTTGAGACGTGGAGGTTTATGTCGAACTGAATATATATATATATATTTTTTGTATTGAACAGTTGTGTACGTTTTTTATTAGATTAAAATTATTTTATATTTTTGAATTTCATGTTGCATTTATTATATCGTTTTTTTCTTACCATCAAATGCTTTAATTTATATTTTTCGTAATTACTAAAAAATTTCCAAGTGTAAATTTCTCTCGTTTTTTTCCATGTTTTTTGACATTTATACAAAATTAAACTCAGAAAAACGGTTGTTTTTAGTACAAAATTTAGGTTCACTGGCACTACGGAATTTTCTAATTAACTAAAGCATAAATTATGGTTAATGTAAGATAACTAAGCACACAAATAATTACAAAAAAAAATATATTAAGAATTGTATATATATTTTTTCAGTATTATCATATACATTTTTATAGAATACCGACACACATGGTTTGTTTTTTTTTTATCGAAAAATATATGTCATCTCAATTGTTTTTGTCAAAACGAAAAATAATTCTGTCAAACAGTCTGTCTAATAAGAGCGTGAAAGACCAGGCAAATTTTCTGTTTGAATATATTGAAAACGTTCGAACAAGCAGGTAGAAGAAATCTTTCCCTTCTACGACGCATTTACACAAAGGGTCGGTTATTATTGTCCGACTGTCGCTAGAGAACGTATTCAACGACAAGTGCGCCAAAAGATTTGAAATTGTGTTGCTATGCGCGCATCTGAAAACGTCGCGGGAAACGGCTGGAAAATACGTGAAAAGATCAAAGGCGTTTCTGAACAAGCGATAAAATAACAAACACCGTTGATGATCTACTGCAATTCGGTGAGGTGCGAAAAGCAAGGATTTGGAATTTTATCTCTATTTACAGAAAATTTAGATGCCGAGAAGATAATTAAAATTCGACAGAAGGAATTAATATAATAACAGTTGCCGAAAAGTAATTTCGAAGCAAAAACATCAAGACTGGATTCTTCAAAAGAACTCGAAACATCGGAGTCGTCTCTCAAAAGACAATGACGTCAAAACACTAGACTGACGCAAATTGAAGATGTCTGGAGATTAATGAAGATGAAGTTGCGTAGTAAAAAAATTTACGCAATTATCTCGACAAATTCATTGAATATGGCGATCTGTCAGACAATAATTGACAACGACGGTGATCGAACGACACATTAATACAAGAGCTTTGTAATACACTGATTTGATAATAAATTACGTAATTTGGTTCATTTGTTTCTAATGAATAATTTCAAAGGTATGTCAGTTGCGTTCTTATTAGACAGACTTTGTACTTTCTTAGAGAGGGCCTAAGATCAATACGAGTGAATTATTTCATGACAAGAAGACACCGCTCCCTAAATGTTTTATACAGAAAACTTGTATTTGTGCGTGAGTGTTTGTGTGAGATATATGTTTCAAAAATATTGTACATATTTTAAATAAGTTATCGGAACCAAATTAAACCGCGAAGAACCGTGGCACGAAACTTAAGCAACAGGATTGATCGTTTTTGCGCAATTATTTTTTTCATATTTTGATACTCACTTTTTGATATAAACCCTTCTTGTATACACACACACATGTGTTGCTCGCAATTACTTTTCCAAAAAAAAAAAAAAAAACATTTACGTAATACTCGTATTTAGTACAATCGCGAGTTGTAGAATCATTATTTATCAATTCAATATTTATATTTCACATATTTCAGTGACTTTAAAAATTAGTGACTTTTTTTTAACTTTTTTAAAATTATCTCTCAACTATGTGTCAAGAATTCCTTTTTATAATTAAAAAAAAATGATTCTTAAAATATGTACAGGAACAAAAATTAAAGCGATTTAAAACTTCAATGCCGATAGACGAGTCTGATAATTTGAACGTACGTCACTGTAGAAGTGTACAAAAAAAAAAACATTTAACGACTTTATTTTTCAAACTGTATCACGCGGATACAACATTCCTCAAGAAGTGCTTCGCCGAGTGATTTAATTACAATAGGCTACGTTTTAATGCGAAACTGTTGCATGTTGCTTGTGTATGTATGTACGAATAAGGACGAGTCACTATATGAAACGCATTATCTAACACACGTTAGTTCTTAGCGGAAAAAAAAGCATAACAGTGCCTTTATTAAAATGATCCGTACGGATTGATTGACGTATTTTAATTTTGTTTACAAGCCAGACGCTTACTTCGCAGCCACCTTTTACACCCACATTTGGAAATGGTTGTTAACGATTGTTTTATTCGTACATATACGTTGTGAATCACGCGACACGAATGCGAACGAAAGTCTGTGTGCGCGATTTTCAAAAGCTCAAATCGCTCGCAAAGTGATTTATTATCGTTTTTAAAATCCGAGACATCGAGATTGATTTTGTCAACGTTCGATTGTTAAGCCCATAAGTAGCCGCTGTAACAATAATAATCGATTCAACAAGCCATATTTTGTTCCTCCTTACACGCAAATTCTTTGGCCATCAAATTTTTAGACTGTATTTTCTCTTTTTGTATTTCTTTTTTGATATTGTTCGATCTAGTCATACGTCATTCTCTGTAACACACACTTGTGTATTAAACGACTTTACCATGTGCTGTAACATATACTACATATTGTAAATAAATATGTAAGCTTCACACGTTCACACACGAGAGAGATTGTTTTAATAAAAATAAAACCATCCGCGCGAGAGAATGCGCTGTTTCCACAAACATACAAATCGCGTGACTTTACTTACAGGAAAATCCTTTATCTCACCTCATTTGCATTGGGAATAGCTTTCCAAATTGTACTTTGTTGTTGTTATACCGCCGCGCCGTCTTGGATCGTGTCTCGTGACCGAGGCGAGAGTAAGAGGGAAAGAGATAGGACTATTCCCGTGTCACCGAGCGCGGCAGCAAGGTGCCCGTCTTCTAAGTGCGTAGGAGTTTTACGTCCCTGAAACGCGCGCGAGAGAGACTACCCGTTGCCGCGTGCGAGGGAACGAGACGCCGATAGGACGCTAGCTACCACAATCGCCACGGTGCTGGAGTTCTACGGTGGTAGTGAATGGAACGCGGTATGCCGCACGTCCTCGCGTAGTACGCTCCGCGGGCGCCGCGCGCCACCAATGACCGTCGAGCACAACCGGTCACGTGACGCCCGTGCCGAGCCAGCAGCAGAACATTTGCAAATGACAAGACGCATAGGGCATTGTCGTATCGCGCCGCCGCTGCTACCGCCGTCGCCGTCGCCGTCGCCGTCGCCGTGCCTGCCTGGTCCGGCCGTCGTCGAGTCCGCCGCTTGAGAATTCATTTCTGAGCGTCTCGCGTCAAAAAAAAGTCCCTACCCGGTGCGGTAACGCTCGCCACCGGAGGTGCCGCCACGTCGGGACGCCCAGGCGTCCTAAAGTACCTTGCGCGACTCGTAGTCGGTTTGTGCGCGCGACTCGTCGGGAGAGCTCCCGCGCCCTGAGAGAAACGAGCGGCCGCTCCAGCCAGGAGAAAGCCGCAAAGGTGCGCGTCCGCTCCGCTTCGTGCGCGCGGAGATACGCGAGTATCCGCCGCCGCCGCCGCCGCCGCTGCCGCCGCCGTCGTCGTCAACGTCGCCGTCGTCGGTACTCGAGAAAAGGAGCCCCGCAGCGTGCGTTTAAGGAAGATGTCGAGTTCGCAGCGTATGCGAAAGTCCTCGCCATGCTCGAAGCAGGGCCCGATGCGCGCCACCCTGCCCGTGAGCTCGCTGATGAGGCAGGGCCGGCAGAGTAGCAGCCTCCGCAAGAGTAACAGCAACAGTCCCACCGTCTCGCCGACAAACGCGGCCGTCTGGCGGGCGCGCATCTCGCCGGAGACGTCGTCTTCCTCGGGACAGCGGAGCCCCGGATCCCTGTCCTACAAAGGTACGTCGCCTCGACGCGGTTCCGCTTCTTTGTGTGTTTCCGTTTTCATGTATTTTTTTTGGGAAGCACTCGTGACCCTTCGAGCGTCGAAGTCGTCGTCGGAAACGGAACCGCGTCGACGATGACTTCGAAGCGCGATTCCGAGTCGACCGGTATTGTTTTTTCTTTTTTTTTTGTTTTTGCGCAAACGAAACGCGCTGCCCTTTTGATATAATCCTGTCCTGCCGGAAGGTACGTAAAGATCGTCAAGTGCTCCGTGCGCAATGTATTAGTATTTGTTGCAAAATATAAAATCGGTTTTCCACGGACGGAGCGCAGAGCGTCTTACATCACTATTTATTCGAGGTAAGTTGTGTGCTTCGCTATGCCTGCTGCGCACATGGAGGATAAACAGATTCCCGTCTGATGAGAATTTATTTATTTCCGGAGCGATTTGTTATTTATTATTTTTTTGCACTTCTTTTCTTTTTATTATTTAACATTTGAGCTAGAAAGGAACAGAAGAGAATAGTGTTTTAAGTTGTGCGTTTGTTCTGATTTGACTTTGCGCAAAAAGAGTTTGTTTTATTTATTGTTCAAACATTAAGTAGATACGATTCTCCTCTCCTTGCTTGCTTATGTTTTTAATTATTTGACACGCAACTGTTTGGTGTATTTTAATTTTTATTTCCGTTTTTAATCACCGTTTTTTTCAACATACAATTTTGTATATATATATACACACATACAAAAGTATATATATACTTCACTTCACGGTGTTAACTAATTCACACTTGCACACTTGGCACACCACAGTTGTACAAAACAGAACTTACTTTTGAAAAGGAGTCACGATTTGTTTTCACACACCACTGTATTTTTATACATACACTACACTACAGTAACCGAAGAAACAAGTTTTAGTTCGGTTACACTGAGTGTTTGTTTTGATTTTTCTTTTTTTTTGTTTTTTTGTTTTTTTGTTTTCTTTCACTAACGCGCATATTTCTTTTATCGGTCCAGTAACCGAAAATAACGCTTATGGTTCGGTCTGGTAGAATGTACGTGTATCTGCAGCATGCACTTGTATAAAAAAAAAAAAATCTTATTTATTTCAGAACAGTTCGTCTTGTTGTACATAATATTTTATCAAATTGAATTTATTATTGCACTGTGCAGCCAAATCAAAAACATTGAGCGGTCGCTGTAGCGACAGCTTGAGTGGAAACCAGAGCATTCGTCGAACAGCATCATTGGATACCATTTATCTGAAAGGTCAATGGCCACGTGAACCCTATTACATGCATTCCAGTCTTCTGGTAGACAAATCTACTCAGGTAAATATTTGAGGAGTGTTTTAATCATTGGTGTATCTGAATGTGATTAAATTTGATGTACTCATATCACACGTTTATTTAGTAGTAACTCAGTTTGATCGGTATCTCTTATTGTCAATTTAGACGGAAGAATGTCCCACTGAACCAAGAAAAATGCACACTCGTCATCCCACAGAACAAACTGTCACCGATGAGAAACTGGAAAAGAATTACTTCAGGCATCGGTACGTTCGTGTTGATGAACAATTTACTTACACAATGCGTGTCTCTTTGTCAAAAAAGTATTGTTAATGTAAATATATTTTATATTATTTCCACACGTGTTATTGTAGATTACAACGTACAAATAAAGAAGGTACTAGTAGTAGAGAGCGGACAGCAGCATTCGGATTAATAATGCCGGGTGGTCCACCACCCGCGCTTCCCGGAGATCATTCAGTACTTTTGCCCAGTATTGCTTCACAGACATCCATGCGTGAGTAGCTTATTGTTTGCGAGCATCTTCTATTCGCGTGAAAACTGACGCGCGATTAAACATCATCCGTTTGTTTTGCAGACAATCAATTTAGCTTGAGTACAAAAGCAAGTCCCATGAATATACCTGTGAAACCAATGAGGCCTCCGATGCGTTCGTCTATCGAAGGTCTCAATCAGGAAATAGAGGGACTTGTGCTCAAAAATACAGCCAATAATAGCGATGCAGACCATCCAGTAGAAGACAAGGTAAGGCGTCATTTTCATATACGCGATAATCTGGATATTTTCTTTGTCGATATATAGAATGTAATTTTGTTTGTTTAGTACGCACGATATCGCGAACAAATCACACCCGAAGGACATCGCGCTCCTCTGGCAGACCTCTTGCGAGCCACTCGAAGTGTCAACACGCAAACGCCGGCTACTGACCTTCCCTCCAGTTCTTATTCTTCAGGTGAGTCGTAATTGTATGCTGATGCTTATGTTATCTTATGTAGAAAGTTAAAATCATGATGGGGTTATTACAAATAGGTGCAGAGAGAATTGAATATAATAAACTATTCGAATGATGATAAAAATATTCGAAAAATAACTAGGATTTGAGCAATCAAAATATTATTAATCTATTTTTGTTCTATTTCTAAAAGATTGAAATTAGATGTACAAAGAATTTGCTGTCAAAACTACAATCTCTACTCCATATCTTTGATTTGCTCTTTACAAACAATTAAATTTTTACTCGGTTGTGTATTGCCGGTGAAAAAAGAAGACTGTATATGTACACACGTACTTTTCCCGGCTAATTATTTCTGGTTTAAAAAATGTGCAATATACAATATATAACACACTAACCAAAGGTGTGTGTGCCTGTTGAGACAGGCCCTCCGTCTAGGAATTCTGAGTCTCCGCTGATTCCTGGTGTAATGGATGCATCCCGTCCGCCTAGCGATCTCTTACAAGGTTGGAGCATATTTGCGGAAAGATTTGATTTTGTTTTCGTTTTCACGGATCTCACTTAACAAATTTGTTTGTCTCTGATCTCTCTCGATTTGCTGTTGTTGATAATTGATTACGAATGATTACGTTATCTATGTAAATATGAGTAAAGTTTGTATGTGTTTGCTAAAAATTTCGTTAGGACAACAGTTCGTTTCGTATATATGCACGATATTAATTTATAAGAGTGATCATCGAGATATATGTGTGAATCAAATTCAATGTGTTTCCAAAGAAACAATTAAGTATTTTGTACATTTTGTTTGCAGACAAAGAAATTTGTGTAGTCACGACTTTGATTTCGATGTAATTTAGTTTCCTCGAGATCTTAACCATTTTTGTTTCTAATCAATAACAACACGCATATCATTAGATGATGTACAACTCAATACATATAATAATAAGTAATAGGTAAATCAGATATTCCTGACAAAAATTGTGTACATATATTTGAATTTAATTGCATGATTTGCCTATGAATGTTTTCACGTATCACTGACAATCAGATAGTTGTTTTGACATTTGTATTAAAACGTACATAACATGTGTTTCACATGCATAAGATTAAAAAAAAAAAAAAAACTAATTCAGAACGCATGGTGAAATACAATAATGTGATCATTTTTTTTTAGAATAGATACCGATGTTTATATTTTATTTTTTTTTTCAGCTTTCACATTTGAAAAACCACGAAGTCAAAATCGCATACATGTGCTCTTTCTTTATATGGCTGTTTATATCTTTAATGTCATTTGATATCACTTAGTGTAGCATGAAGATAAAAGTTTCCCATACTCATTTATCTGTTTTTGAGTCAATGTGCAGCAAACATCCTCTCTTACATAAGCTCATTTGAACACGCACACACACATACATATACACAAGCTATTATTAAAATAGTGAATGGCATGAATCCCCATGATATATTTTGATCATCGACATAAAGAGCAACATGCGTCTTTCACGTGTCATTACATTTTTACGATAAGATGATTTCAACATTTGTTTGATTTTTTAGGTGGAAGCCGTGGCTCAACGCCCGAGCAAGACAGAGAAGGACGTCTCGGAACCTCACCACACATTAACAGGTTCCTTGCGAGGGAACCGCCCGATGGCTGTGAGAAAGTCAACCTCAGATTCGTGGAAGATGCGAGGTAACGTAGAGAAATATCTTACCTATTTTTTTAAAAGATTTTTTTTTTCAAAATGATCCGTTTTGTTTTTACCTGCCGTTTTTTTTCTTTCTTTATGTGCAGGCGGCCGATGATAGATTTGAGCAAGTTAGAATATTGCCCAAAGCCGTGCGTTCCAGCATTCCAGTTGAAACCTAGCTTGGGATCAGCGTTCCTGCCATTGCAACAGCCGGCCAGTCCGACGATGGTCGCCAGTGCATCACCCTCCGCGCATACAACACCGACCACACCTCCTCCAAATCCATAGTCCCACTCTTTATCTTGCGGTGTTACACTTATAAGCTCGGTTAGTACATATATATATACACACACACATATATATTTTTTTTTAACGACCTTGTGGGTAGAAAGTGATTTACTTCGACATAAAGGCATATACCGACAAAGAAAAGTTACCGAACAAAAAGGAAAGAACAGCAGCCTGTTCCCAGTGCGTCCCCGCGGGAACACAACCGTGCGGGCATCGTGGATTGTGTAATTAGAGAAGTTAGTAATTGCATCGATACAAACAGAAAAACGAAGGAAGTATTTGAAAAAGGCATCTGAGCTCCGTTATGATGTTCGAAACAATAATTAAAAAAAAAATAAAAATAAAAATACGAGGAACAATAATTTGTGATAAACTAAAAGAAAAAAACAAAAAGAGATGAAATGACAACGTTTAGGAATAAACATTGTGTTCTACAGGGAAAAAAGACTAATGAAATTGTGTATTCTAAATTTAGTGCTAAAATGTGCTAAACGACTTTAGTTTTGTATACACGGATAAAACTATTCAAGAGAGAGAGATGACAAAAAAAGAAAGAAGTATTAAATTTCATTGTTGGAATAAACAAAATTCTACGGATATAAAAGAAGAGCGCTTGTGCACTATTATATATATATAAATATATATATATGCGTATATAATATATGTATACACGCATATGTATATACACATTGCCGCTCACCTCTATGATGTTTTCATTAGATCTTCATTGCTTGTGTGGAAACTGAATTTATATAGTGACAGAGAGAGAGAGAAAGAGAGAGAGAGAGAGAGAGAGAGAGNAGAGAGAGAGAGAGAGAGAGAGAGAGAGAGAGAGATATGAATCACTTGTTAGAGTTTTGTATTGTTTTGTATTATTACTTGTATGCTAAAAAGATATTCTCAAACTATTGTACGAAGAGCTAGAAAAATGATGTATCCCTATGTTTTTGTTTCACAGAAACAAGCTTTATGGAAATTGTTTCGTTTTTTTATTGACACGAGATAAATACGCGTGCAACCGATTGTCAAAATGTTTGCGAAACTATTTACACAAACGTAAAATAATTCACGGTTTTGCTTTGAATGGAGAAAGTTCTTTTTGAATTTCAAACAAAATCGTGTTTGTGAAGTATGTGAGGCAAAATTTTGTTTCGGAATTGACGATGGCGTTCTCGTTCTTTTCGTAACTGTTTTAAGTGACAATACACCATAGGGCTACAATATTTTTTTTTCTTTTTGATTTATCATTATTATTATTACGTTAGATTTATATTAATATACAATCTGAATATGTACAACCGATATAACATGCAGATTGATGATGAGTGTATGATAGAATGAGTCCAACGACACAAGACGGATTTATGTATCGAGCACAGAGAAAACGAGATGAGTGATAAATATTTGCATACCGACTGGGAGAGGTGACACGCGACATGTGCTTTCGCTAATGTGGTATCAGATGTGTATAAGAAAACGGTTCCCTGGCACGGAATACAGGTGTGCGTGTATGTTTTTTGTATAAACGCGGATAATTAATTCTCAGAAAAAAAAAATTATAATCTGCGTCTTATACAAGCGACAGTATGCATGTGATGTAATATCAGAAAATCCTAATTGATTTATCTATCCGCGATTAACTTGAGAACAGGAACTTGCGCGCTTGCGACAAAATTTTGTTTTTAGCTGACCAAAAATTTGCGTCGTTATTCAGAAAAAAGCGTTGCTTTAACAAACATTTTTCGTCGAATATTTATCGTGATTCACGTTGACCGCGACTCAAAATTTGTCTCTATTGCCATATTTGTAACATTTTCTTGTAAAAACGTAAAGAGAAAAACTCACAGTGCTCGGTCAACGTGTTGTAATTAACAGAAACTTTTCAAAATATGATTACTATCAAAATAGCAAGACGGAAAAAGAGAAAATGTGTGCAAGTTATTCGTGCGATGGATTAAATTATTATTTAGTATACGCAAACATAGTCACTCGAGAAGTTCAATTTATTTTTTGCTTTCTAAATACGGAACATTTTGCAAACGGTTTTTTATAGTTACACACTCACAGACACTCACAATTACACACACACTCACACTCAAACACACAGTCTGTGGAAAATAAGAATCTTGATAGCGTGTAAAGCCGAGGAGAGCGAAAGAGAAACGGTTTTTTAAATACAATAGTAATATACTTTCTAATAATGTAATGTATATCTAGCTACAATAGCGGAGGAAGAGAAAAGGATGAAAAAAAAAAGAATGTTAACACATAAGTACCTGGCACACTGGTCTATGCTCTCTCTTATCCAGCTCACTAGGAAGTTCATGCCTTAGAATGCGTGGTAAGGTGTGCTATATACATAGACAGGAAGGTTAATCAGAGTCAGGATAAATACAAAATGCACTGGCTAGTTAAAGTATGTACACGATACAAAGATAATGTAGTATTTACTAGCTTAAGAGAAACTTTGTTTTAATTTATTTTGCTACAAGATCTAACAATACACACCTCGTACCACCACCACTTTGTCGTATCCGAGTGCGAATATAAAATAGCTTTGAGGAAACAAACAAAAATAAAAAAAATAAAAAAAAGAAAGAAAGGCAAGAGAAGGCGCATTCAACCACCACGTAAAAAAAAAAAACAAACTTCTGTCTGTTCGTGTGCTTTGCACTTGAATAACGGATGATAATGATCCCGACGTATAAACACGATATGACGATGTAATAATTAACTTTACTGAATAAAATGGAGGAACAGGTTTTTCGTATTTTTAATAATGAGCAGTAGATGAAAAGTAATTTCAGACGCTAGCCTCGTTGGTTTTGTTCACCGCGAAAGTTCTCCGCTCTTTAACCTTCGTGTACTTGCACAATGTGTTAATTATTATTGTTAGTTTTTGTTGACAATTTCGTAAATTCACAGAGTGAACGCGTAAGAAGACTGCTGAAAAACTGAATATTACCTGTTATTGAGAAAAAAAAAACAAATCTTAAAAAGTTGAATAAAAATTAGGCTCAACTCACATCGATTTATACCTATGAAGAAGGATATTATAGGTATTACACTTATGTAACTCATTATACTGACTAATCTCTTCTTTCTTATACGTGACTACTGTTCGGTATATTCTCTCTACATATCTAAATCTGAGCAGGCTTCAGAACAGCAAAATGATTATGTCAATTAAACATTTATTTAACCCTAGGACGGTCTAGATGTTGCAGTAATCTTGCACGAAAAAGAAAAAAAACGAAAACGATTGTTAAATGAAGTGATTGTGTATTGTAATTTGTAAGATGCTCAGAATTATACAAACTTTCCAGTACATATAAAAACATGTATGTGTTGTATAAAATATCTTAAAAAAAAATTTTTATATACTTGTGCGCGCTGAAATACTAAATGCAACTTTTATTCACTGTTTTATAATAAACATCTAAAACATATATACATATTATTTATTGCTTTTTTTATTCTATGAGAATAATTGTGTCGACCTACTTTTTAGGTTTCAGTTACGTGCGTCTATGTGTGAGGAAATACGTGCGTTTGTGTTACTTGTGAACGTGCATAAACCGATCGAAACTGTCAAAGTTTTTAACGCATTTTTAATAAATACAGATCAGCATCACACACGTGTTTCGCGCGTGTAAATGTATAAACGTTTTTTATTTTCTCATTTGTCTTCTTCGTGAACCGAATATTTGAAATTTTAGTTTTCTAGTCGGTCCTAGGGCTAAATCAAAATTAGTCACAGAAAAGAAAAATAGTGAATAATAAGTTAACGCTTCTTGTACTTGTAGAGCGTATGTTTTTGTTTTATTCACAATTTCTTGCAAATAAAAATTTTTAAATGTTACGATTACCCAATTAAGCATGCGAGTAACTTACTAAAATATTTTTTTCCCCTAATTTTAACGTCATTTTAATACATTTTTTTTAACATTAACCGTGTTTGTTACAAAAAAAAAAAGTAGAATACTAATGAATTATTAAGATATACTAATTGTAAACTCATGTTTTATTTGATCATTAAGATAAAATTGTTGCCATGATGGCTTTATATAAAATGATATAAATATATTACTAATTTTTATTTGTCGATTATATATGTAGAAAAAAAAATGTTAATAATGATAAGTATATTTGTAAGAGCATACCATGCGCTATTATAAGGAAAGAAAAAGAACTTCTCTCAATATGGAAAGGTGAGCACAGCCAAAGTGTTGCCTAGTACAAATATATTGTAAAAAAAAAAATCGATTGTTGTTTAAATGAGCCGAAAGTGCTACTTGCGTTGTGCGCGGATTTATTTCGAGATATACTTATCGATATCTTTGATCTCACGAATCCTCTCATTATCTTACCTCTCCATAGTGAGAACATCCTGTGTAAGTTGTTAAAAATTTGTGGTTTTTACATGCGCAATTAATTCTATTTCTGATTTACCGACATAATATTGTATGTACTTATATTCCGATAACAATATGCACCTTTATTTTTGTCATAAAGGATAGATGAAAAAAAATGTACCTTTTTATATTACTATTAAGGCGCCTTAACGTATAAACAAATAAACTTTTTAGAAAATAAAAGATTCGATATTTTGCAACTTAATTCTGCAACTACAAAAATAACTCGATATGAGAAAAAATCAATTCGATCGATCGTTCGTAAATCTTTTCTCTGTAAATAATAGATAGGATTTTACATTGGGATATTTTTTCGGTAATAAAACATTTAAAAAAAAGCAATTAATTGCAAACTATTATTTTCATAGAAAAGACCAGCTTTCTTATATAATCGTTTCTTCTACATTTTTCGTTTACACACATGTCGACATCGTATAAATTTATGTCGCATATGCATAAATAATGATCTTATTTACATAAATACATACAATGGTAAGTTCATTTCCTTAATTGTCAACAATATATTTGTGTATAACAAGATGCTCGTCTCACGCAGTAAAACTTTTTTATCGTATGTACAAATTATCTATATATAAAAATTGATTTAATTACAAACCCATGTATTGAGGTGAGGAAGAGAAGGTATTTCTCGTGGAATTGTTCTTTCTCGATTCCTCATTAGGATTATCACTGAAAATGAAAAACGATGACAACGTTTTTGATAACAATATGAAACAGTCAGCGATAAAAGTGCTTTCTTGTGTAAACGTTACTCGTTAGACGTCCGATTTATAAAAATTCTTTCAGATTAAAAAAGACCAAACAAATGATTATACCCAAAGAAAGGCATCAAAGACACGAGCGTTTGTCTGCTCGGCCTGCATGCGAATGCGGGCGAACATTGCGCCACTCGTCCGACGACTCGCCGTAACCATTGTTGCAGCCTTTGCCGTCGCTCTTCTACGAATTTTGCGTCCTGGAAATCAATAATTATTATTAACAAGTTCATTATTCACGTAATATCTCGACACTCACTTTATTTCCTATCGTTTTCTTTGGCGGAAATTCGAAAGTCGTAACAATAGTGTCATGTTTCTTTAATTCTCTATAAAGCGCATAAAATTGAGCATATCGCCTGTATATGTTCCATTCCGTGTCTCTTATACGTACGTAGATCTACGGTTAACACATAGTAAACGTGTTACGTTAGATTTTGTTTAACTTTTGGCAAAAAAAAGAAATTTTTGCAATATCGAGATCTTTTGTACTTGATAAACGTGATGAATGTCAGACGGCTGTCCCGTAAGAAACGCCGATGGAATCCATATGTGAATAAGACACGGTGGTTCCGACGGTAAATCATCCTCATTCAACGGCCCTCGGAGACACTCCAACTCCGTTTGCAACATTTTTACCAATCTGTCCCTATAGAAAAAATGTTAAACAATAAAGAAGTAAGATTGCTTGATTCTACAACGCGATCACGTACTTGTTTGTCAACTGCATTGTTAGTCTGGCGTTAAATTCCATTAATTCAGCGTGCATATCCGCTACTTGTATCAACTTTTCCTCGTATTGTCGCGCCTCGCTGTGATAATCTAACGACGGATCCTCCTCGGATATCATGGAGTTGGAATCTCTCCTCAACATCTGAACAGCGGTGACGTACTTGCGCAACTGTTGTCGTAAGAGTTCATTCTCTCTGTGCAATTACAAGTAAAACAAATTGAGAAACAATTTGCTTGCTTCATTTTGTGTATGTTACAAATTAATAAATTACCTGTTCAATGTTTGCAGTTGTAATTCATGCTTTTCCAAATAATGCTGATGTTGTCTCTGGAATCGAGCGAGTTGCAATCTACTGGATATTGCGTCTTCTCTAGCCTGTTCCAGTATTTCTGTCATAGCTAAAAGTCTTACGCGCAACGTATCTACATCTAAATTGTCTGGATCTATATGCAAATCTAAACCAACTAGCGGTTCTGTTGCCTCCATTGCAGGTTCTGTTATTTCCGATGAATCCTGAATGGAATGGATTGTAAATTTATACACGTATGTAACTTTTAACTCATTAAAATAACTAAAATTTCTGTGTGAACTCACATCTAGGTAAGGTGGCAGACTGACTAACATATCGTCCAATGTTTGATCAAGTGCTGATACAGGTACAAGACCACCCATATTTCCGGCATCTGTTACTGGAGTTAATATCTTCTCTTCTTGAAACGAGTCACTAAACATAATCGAAAGATACTTTGTGTAAAAAAATTATTTTACATTAAAAATGCTCGCAATTAATAAAATAATTGCAATTAATTAATTACTACGACAAACCATCGTTCCCATTCCGGAAGTTTTGCATCGATCATTGTACTACCATTCAAATCTGTCTGAGGTTGAGGATCTGATAAGCAAGGTGAGGTGGAATCCTTTGTCGATGTCGTCGTAGGCGAGCCAGGGCACGTCGGTGGTGCGCTCGAGGAAGTTGTGGTTTCCTTACGCTCGCTCTCTTCATTGTCATCGTCGAAGGAAATTATGCGAGTCGGTACTTTTTTTTTTCGTTTATCTTGCTCGGATGTGGAATGCTCTATTTGACAGATCGCGAACAGTTCATTGATGATTCGACAACAAAGTTTTGTTTTTTCTAAACACATATGAATTTAGCACTTACCTGGAATTATCGTGGGAATAACTGGCTCCGATTGCTCGGCTCTATTTCGATCTATTCCTTTTCCTTTCAGATCGTCAAGTTCCTCATTGTCTGTCCTTATTGCAAATAAGATTGTACCGAGGCCTAAAATTAATCGAGTTAAATAATACGGATGGATTGTCAAACAAACCGCCGGAGAACAATGTACCTGCAGCTACGTTAGGCAATACAGAATTCTTCTCCTGATCGAGCAAAAAGGCCCACTCTTCATAAAACGGAGACAGTGCGTCGGGATTTATAACGGTATGCAAGTGTCGTTCCAGAGATCTCTCATTCAAAACCGCCCTCAGCCACGCTCTACCTCGACCATAATCTGTCTGTACTTTTCTCAACATACTAAAACGTTCCTGCTCGTGCCATGTAAGTTGGTCTTTAATGCATGGCCAGAATGCTGCATCGGCCACACTGCCGGGTTTTGTGGCACAACCAGAGACCAAATCAGACACATGTCTATGTGAAAACAATATGAAAAATATTTCTCCTTGCTGTTTCATATTACAATCAAAAGCAAAATGTAACTAACTACTATGTGATAAATTTATATATTAGCTGACTCTAAAGCCATCCATGTATTTATCATTCTGATAAATGAGTCATATCATGGATAAAACACAGTTTGTTTTGTGACCTTGCTCACATGCAGAAAATCATAGAAGAAACATACATATATGTATATGTGCATACAATTAGTTTATACGGTATTCGCAATTATTACCTAAACGCAGAGTTGATTTTATCTTTATAATTTGTTTTCAATCCGTGACTAAAAATCAATTCAAATATATGGCAGAGCTGCGCTACACATGCTTCTGATTCTGTGGCTAATTCTGCACGTCCACCAAACCTGACATGACATTCTTTTGTGGCAACCAGCAGCTCTTCCAGCAGCTTTTCTTTCTCAGCTGCATGATCAACTATATTATGTGTATTCGGCACTATCGCTGACATAATACGCAAAGCCTAGGATAAACATCTTTGGAAATAAATAAAAAAATCAAATCAGTTTCAGGAAGAATTTTAATGCATTTTTGTGATTTTTTTTTAAGTTTTATTACATTTCTTTTTACAAGTAAAATTGTCTTATTAAAAGTAATATTATTTTTCTGTAAAATTCTTCCTGAAACATACGTATGTTGTACTTTAATCTACCATTATCTACATTAGAATTGTTTAAACGAACACTTTCTAGTTTGATCACAATTTATAAACTGCTACAAAAATAATTCTCTTAAAAAAGCTACAAAAAACAACAGATTGTATAAATTTTAGTGAATTTTTGCACAAATTCTACTTTTTCAAAACAAGCTCATATAAATACACACACACACACACACAAAAGTTCACACGCAAATATTCAGACAAAAGAGAAAAATATCCAAAGAAATTTATTCGATAAGTAAAAAAGGTATTAGAGTATTATTTACGTATTTTTTTAAGCACTATATTTTAAATGTAAATAATATAACAAACTTATTCTGAGAATGCAGCTATCCACAGCTTGAAAAAAAATGTGCACTCTTGATACAGAAAAAAAGAAAAAAACTACAGTCATCACTCTTATTACACGTTTGAAGAATCCGTATGCGTTTCTCGCGATATATCACACACACTTGTCATCTGGATTTATATGTATATGTACATACTATACGTGTGACATACTGACACAATAACGACACTGACAAAACTAGCAAAGTCCTTTAGGAGGATAAACGTAACAAACAGTTCGCGGAAATCAACTTTGCGACTTCATTCGCGCGTAATGAGCTCTAACTTATTGCGCATTGTTTTAATTGCAAAATTTCCTTCGTTTTCTCCCAGATGATGACTTGTTATCGCGACGCGAAATCAGGTTTGCGCGCTAGTCGTCTCGCGCATAAATTTACAAACGGGGCAATTTGGCCGTTATCGCTGCCATTTGATTCTGACACACACACACACACACACACACACGCGACGGAAAACAAAGAGACAGACTCTTACCATTTAAGCGACGCGGTCGAGGACCACCGCCTCGAGATCTGGTCTCACCACTATCGAATATCCACGAATCTCATCTGGGAGATGTATCCGCTTGCCCAGCGAGATGATTCACGATGATAAACGTGAAATAAAGCAGAACTGCCGTCACTTCACAGACGCGACAACACAAACGGTCCGTTGTCGCGTCATGACATTGAACGCGGAAGAAGATGCTCGCTTGCTGTCACTGGCTGTCACGGAAGAACTCGTAGAAGTTCGCAACGCCAGGAGCGGAACGGCTCCTCGCGCCCATCGCAAGCAACCATCGGCAATCGCAACTAACGACCAATTGCGGCAGCGCCACTTCTCGAGACACAGATGCGTCAGTAGAGTCAGAGCAAAGAGAAGATTGAGAGCGGCCAGGTTTATAAGAGATGTGTAATCGCTTTTCCGCCCTGTAAGCTAGCGCAATGTCCATGAGTGGTGCACATTAGCAACTACGTAGCCATTTCTACAAACAACACGTCATGATATAGCACGGAATAGAACCACGTGTGAACATGGTTCTATTCCGTGCTATGTCCACAGCATACAGTTTTATACAGCGTTCAAAATATATTTTCTGTGAAACCTAAAAGAAATAGATTATTTTTTATCTATTACCTTTGCATGTGTTCGCATTTTACACAATCGCACTGATTTCCAGTGGCAGCAATAAAGACTCAGATCATGCGCTTGTAGCATGACGTTCTTTAAATATCTTTAAATATCTTTAAATTTTTTCGCGGAGGTGGGTTTGAGGATACAAAAATTATTTAAATCGGCTTCTTACTTAATTGTTTATTATAATTTGATTAGAAAGTGAAAGTTCTTAATGTATTCTTAATTCGTGCCAAGGTTCGAAACAGTTTATTAAAGAACCTTATATGGGAGGTGTTTGCCGGATAGTCTTGGAAGCGTATGTTCCGATATTCGTGGCACAACGGCGCTTGCACTCATATGCCACCGTGCGTCGCCGGCCGCCCGGCCGTCCGGCTGGGTATTATAGGAAGGCAGCTCGGCGCTCCGAGGCGTCGAGCGGGCGCGGACCGCTTTCGCGGCCGCGTGAAAATGCAAATAGCATTTTCGATGAAAACCACAGCATTGCCACGAGTCGAGGTCGAAAGACCGAAATGGCTCTTTATGTGGCGAGCACGCCTAAGCGTGTTGGTTGCGCGATATCTCCTTGCGAACGTCTTCGCCGGAATATCGTTGCACTCAGTATCAACTCCCACGATAAAAGTGCGAAAGACATTACAGAGCCGCTACGCGGTCGTTAATATGCCAAGGAAGAGATATAATTTTATGATTAGAATAATTGCCACGAGTCAGTATCGACAAACGAATGGCTTCGAAACGTGGCGTCCACAATTGAGTGTGGAGTAAGTTATAAAGAGGTGTCCTAAGAGTTTAATAAAATACAGAGCCTTGGTAACTGTGGCTCGTGAGTCAAAAAGCTCTCAGAAAATGTAACACATTAGACGACGAGTTTCTCGTTGTCTCGCAAACCCTGTTTGCTGTGCGAAGCGTCCGTGCGATGAAGAAAGCCCCAGAGGCGTATTCCGAGTGCGGCGTGTCGTGATTACAGCAGACAATTATGGGTTTCGCAAAATCGATATAAAGGTTATTCAAAACCGTCTGTAAGTTATAGACGACTTAGAAAGAGGTAATGTAGTACTCGGTACAGCGCGGTTACCACGCCGTGATCTGTCGAGACTGAGACCTCTGTGGGCGGATTCGTCTTGTTCGCTAGACGAACGAGACCTCCGACTCGACGATCATACACGCAAATAAAGCGTTCTAGAATCCCGCTCGTTGCAAGACCGTCGTAAAAACAGAAAAAGCAACACGCCGCGAGAACTTAGACGCGGTGACAAAATTTGTATCGCTTGGCGCAAAGCACTACGCCGCGAAGACTTAGAAACGAAATGTATGTTTGTCGGAGGTGTTGCCGGTGAAAAGCACTACGCCGCGAGGAACTTTGAAGCGAAAGATATGTGCGTCGGAGGTGTTGCCGGTGTTGTTGACAAGGAGCATTACGCCGCGAAGACTCGGAAGCGAAAAGTATGTGCGTCGGAGGTGTTGCCGGTAAATAGCACTACGCCGCGATGAACTGTCGAAGCGATGGCTACTATCGGAGGTGTTGCCGGTGCAAATGACGTGTACTACTACTGTGCCTCGTAATTCTCTCTTTCTCTTTCTAACTCACATTTTTTGTTTTTCTATTTTTTTCTTCTGTCAACGCGCTCGCATATGTATGCCATTTCGTAGCAGTCATACGACATGCACGTCACAAGACGATGATGAAAAAACATGAATTTCTCAATCAAAAATTTTACTCGTCGCATATCTCCGAAAATCAAAAACAAACAAACAAAAACGTAAGAATACATTTTCTTTAAGAAAGTATTCTTAAGCATCAAAATAAAATATGAAAGAGGATATGAAGTTGAGGATTGTGGTCAAAATGATGAGCAGGCAAGTTGCAAGAAAATACCGTACGGCGCGTTTTATAAAATCTCCGTTTTATTGATGCTTCGACAACATGGGCTGAGACACACACATTTGCTCATTAGTTCATATGAATTTTAACCACTGCGTGTTCAAAACGTATACGTACACAATCCATTAAATAATCGCTCCGCGCCGCCGCGCGGTCGCCGACATCACCGATGTGCGACACCGTGTTTGAAACTGAATTTCGAGCTCTTATCTAAATCACACGTATAAAATGTCGATGCAAATCGGTTGCTCAGAACGGCACGCGGTTCGCAACTTTTTTTCTTCTATGTCGAATCGCGCGGCCCCAGGATGCAACTGTACATCCTCGAAAAAAAAAGAAACAATTGTATCACGCCATACATCAGGCCGTATCGAAGAACGTCGACGTTTGCGCACGATAATCGGTTAACATCGATTTAACACCACGTGATTCATTGATTACATTTTATGAGATACGAATCGCGTCACGGAATGAAAAAGGATTACTTCCATTTTCAATCCTGAATTATTAGTTTTCTATTGGCGATATTTAGGCGAGAAAAATATTGTTATTGTTTCACGGATTCATAATTAATTTTAGTTGCAAGTTTAATTAATAATTAATTGTCTATATAAAAGAGCAATGACATTGATTATCAGTATAATTACATGTATCACATAATTAATTTTTATACATGTAACATCGATTATCGGTTCAAAAACTAATATTTCGCGCAGAGATCGTGCACGAGCGTCGACGCGCTAACGACAAACACCGGAGAGGAGATTGAAGCGAGAAATCGCAAACGATCGTAGCGAACGTAGCGTCCTATTTTTTTTGTTTTTTTTTTGTTTTATTGCCACGAGCGGTGGTCACGAACATTTAATGACGAGGATCTTACACACTGATCGTCTTTTGAAACGAGGACGGGAGACTCTCGAGGACCGACGTGTTCGCGTCGGTCTCTCGCTGAGTCTCGTGTTTTACATGCACGTACACGTGTATCGTAAACGTGCGCTTCGATTTCATTTTCGTTTTTGTTTTCTTGTTTCCTTTCTTTGAATTTCCTGCGAGAGACGCAGGTGCGTGTTCGAAAAAAGAGGAAATTTCGCCCCTTTCCGATTCATAAAATCGCGACCACTGCACACATAAACGTCGATACGCGCGCACACACACATGTATGTACATAGATATATCCGAGGAGGAGATCCACATGGGTCGTAAAGAATAGGTCGACAGGATAGACTCTTCTAATAGACTTTGCAGACGGACATAATAGAAATAGTTAATATATATAGCATCATATATTAATATAATATTCAGTAATAATATAATATCTATTATATATTAATATGTATTGATATTTTTTTCTTCTTTTCCTTCAATATAGTGCTTCTTCCCGCTTTTTTTCTCTTTTTGTCTTGAGATGTGTATGTATGCAAGTGTGTTAGTATGTTAGTGTGTGAGTGTATGTGTGATATTCAGCGAGAGATTCGCTTTTTTTTTAGATTCAAGTGGATATGATGATAAGTACATACGCGTCAGCCTTGTTTTATCTAACGTGTGCTCAATCGTCCGAATATTCATTCCGAGAGCCGCTACAAAATCTCTCCCCCTTAACGTTGTTTGTTGATTGCACCTCAACCCTTTCGCTTTAAACGATTCAGCATTGCAAGCAGTTTTAACCATTTTTTTTTTTTGTTTTTATCCGTATTCGAATGGTCGAAAGATATTTATCAACGTACAAAACGTATAGTTAAAATTACAAGACGTATAGTTAAAATTGATTTTAATGTAATTACAGTTGAGTGCTTCGCACAGATTCGTGTAACAACCAGATGTAGAAATTTATTTGTTTCACGCGAGACTTGTGTAAATAAGTCGCAAAAATTTGCCTTTTTTATTTTTTTTTGAGAAATATTTAAAAAATCACTTAAGTCGAAGTTTCAACAGCTTTGGAAAAACATGATGATTCGTGCGTATTACGTGAATTGAAAAGTACGGAAATTTTACGCGCTATATTTGTCTAAGCCTAAGTATATAATCGATCGGCAAATAAAGGTACGGCGAAAGGGTTGAAATTCGTAAGAACTTTACAGATAAACTATGTTTTCGCGCAGGAATTACATCGAGGGACGCAGGGCGAGTTATTCTCACGAGAGAGAGTGCGAGGAATTCTCATTTCTCGTTCGATTTTGAACGCGTTTCTTCTTTTGCGACATTTCGAATCTCAGTGTGTTACATTTATTACTATTTTGTCTAAAATATTGTTTTTATTTTCGATTCCCCCATTCGGCGTTCTCGTTCAAACGGCCCACCCTGTGATATTCGAAACAAGTAGAAACAACTTCGATGTTCAGGTGCTTGTACGGTGCTCGAACTAAAATATCTTCTGATTGCATTTTCTTACTTTTTTTACAGTCGACTTGCAAAGGCATCGTTTTTTTTTTTTTTTTAAAACGAACGAGCTTTATCGGCTGTAACATTTGAATGACAAATTCGAGATCGAATACCGTCTATTGTTTTCACGATAGGTACGTCGACTCGAGTTGCAAGTATAAAATAACAAGCGAAGAAAAACGGCGTCTTGTTGTAGACATTCGATTTTGTTCAAAATTGGTTTACGAGAAACATAGATTGTTTAAAAATTTGATTCGACATACTTTTATATTATTTATTTATTTATCTTCTGCACTTTTCTTTTTTTTCTATCTCCTCGCAACATATATTAATTGTTTAATAGACAAAATTACAGTTTTTATAGTAAAACACAATTTGGTTGAACAATCTGAAGCTGATTGCATCTAAAAATCGACAGGTAATCGGTTTTCTATAGAAGCAACGCCGTTTTTCCCGTTAAACTTTGATTGTTTGAGTTAGTCTTCAGACTGATGAAAAAGTAACACGTCAATATATATACTTTTTTCTCTTTCTCGATTACCAATTATTAAATTATTTAGAAGCTAGAAATTTCTTCGTACTTCAGGATCAGTTGCGTATAACGCATCTGAATTAGACTCTATCTTAAAAATAATAATGCAAATAGAAGTAACTAATAACATACAGTAAATACTTAGAGATAGCACGAGCAATCAGTATATATCGTACACAAAATAACACGCACATGTAGACATAAAATACATTTTTCAAAAATTCAAATATATCGTGTAAAATTATATAGGTTTTTTTTTTAAGAAAAGTTCTTGAAATTGTTTGTAAATTAGCTATTGGTGCGCTGCATAAATTTCGGGTCAAATTCTACAGAAAGGAAACAATTTACATTAATTTGATTCGTCGATTGCGACGTCCTCCGTCTCTCTGTAGAAGCTGGTTCCGATTTGCAAAACTAAAACCGGTCAAGCTTATAAAGTGACACACACAATTTCTCTAGTTCAATATATATAATAACATGTAGTTAAACACCGAAACGAAAAGTTTCGATCACGTTTCACGGTTTTTTCCGCACAAGGATCGTCTCTGTGTTTTATTGAAAACCCCACCTTGTTCTCTTATGTACAAAGGATATGGGAAACTTTCTTTTGATCTTCGAATAGAAAACGCACGATTTAAAATTCGATTACAAGCGCGGATGCAAGCGCCGATTAATTAAAGCTTCCGTCTACTATCGTACGTTGGTGTTAGAATCAAATTCACCGTCGCGTGTTTCGCGCGAACGACTCGCTATACTCGAATACTCGAAATTGCTGCTTTAATATTTTATTGTTACGATCGAAGTAAGTAGCTAAATTAAATTGTTTAACATTAGTAGTTTTATTATTCTTCTTCCATTTCCGATTTAATTTCGACCTGTCGATAATTCGAAAAAAGTAATTTTAGTCGCAACTAATTAATTTAATTCATACATGCTTTTTCAATCTGTTCACGTAAACCGAATAATAATAATTACACACGAAGAGTTTGTGAACTTAATTATCAAAACCAAATGTGTAACTCGAGCGTGCGGGAACACTCGAGAGAAATTCCATTTCGTAAGTAATTACCAGCTGGCGGAATATTATTATATCGAGTATTCGAATACTCGCGTTGCGCATTTTGAATCATCCCAACGGCATTGGGTGGAATGTGTCCAGGAACCATATTTCCGAGTTGAATGCGTCGCAATTACAAAACGAGCAAACCGTATTTGGACTTCTCGAGAGAGGAATTCACTTCGCATTACGAATTCCTCCTCGTGTTTATCTAACGACGGTGCGAAGAAACAGAGTTCGCGTGCTATATACAAAAAGATGTTAAACGTACAAGAGCACAGAAGCCTCGAGTCACTCAATGCATACTTACGCGAAATATTGTACATTGAATTACGCTAGAAAACGCGCCCTTAATCTTCTCACGCGTCAGTGTATGCAGTTTCACGCGCGCGAAACATTGTTTTAATACAAATAAAAAAATTACGTAACTAATCGTATATTACATACAATAACACATGTATTTAGTTGTAAATGTAAGAATACTGAATGCGTTAAATTACGCACAATAATAATAATCCAAATAATAATTTTTCTATTTAAGAAAATGGAGTTTGTTTTATCCCAACTGTAAATCCATTGCAATAATAATAAATTATTTGAGAGAATTAAATATTTATATCTCGCGCCTTTTTTTTGCTAGTTGCAACTGCTTTGATTTTGTTACTTTATTTTTTTTCTTGAAGAAGTTCAAGCGTGAGAGGATTAACGAGGGCAATTAACTCCGCCTGCTAATTGTCGACGTACAATCATTTAAATTGTATATTATTACACTTTCTATGCGACTACCACCATTCACCTTTGATATATTTCATTATATTTAGTCCCGAAAATAACATCCGTACAAAATTGACTATAGCCGATTGCTTTTATGATGTGTGTTCGAGTAGGTCATGTTTAAAATTATATTTCGTACGATGACAAAAGTGAAGTATCATCGATTACACCCTCTATACGTTCTCACGTCTTTCTCACTTTATATCTTATTTCTTTTTCTCTCTCTCTCTCTCTCTTTCTCTCTTTCTTTTTCTCTGTCTCTGTTTCTGTCTCTCTCTTTTCTTGTAAGATAGGATGTGTATTGACCTGGGAGTTTCCGACCGGTTAGTGCTAAATTGTTCATAGGATTGAGTAAACGCTCTCTCTATAAAAAAATATGCGACGAGCATCTGCGTAATAAAGATATCATTTGTTTTTTTCTTTATACGTATATATGTCATGTTTTCCTCTCTTTCCTCTTCTCTCTTTTTCTCTCTCTCTTTCTCTCTCTTCCTTAGAAAAAAACGGAAATACATATAAATGTCGTACTAAACACGAATTTAAAAGATCACTAAAAACTATCATTGCTCTAAATTGCTATATGTGAAATAAAAAAATTACTCGATTAATTGCACGAGATGACACGAGGGGACATCAAATAATATAAATATTCTAAATATAGAATACAAATTTATAATTTGTATTGTAATTCGTATTGTTGAGTTTTGCAAACTCAGTCTAATATTTAGACTTTTTCTTAGTGCGCTAACAATTAACCCTCGGTTACCGCGTCTTACTCTTTGAGTAATCGTCAATCAAGGATCAAGGTTCAACATACGTAATATCCCCAACACAAAAAACGGCCATATGAAACTGCGCGAAGAGATACTTATTGCTGTAACTATAATCTTAAAGTATCTTTGAGATATGGCGTGTTTTTGTTTTGTTTTTTTTTGTTTTTGTTTTTGTTTTTTTTTTTAACGCGAACGAAATCCACTTCGCCCTATATCGGATAAGATCGTTCGTTAAAAGGGGAATTGCGAGTCCCGCAATTTATCATCAGGATATGCATTTTGCGGTTGCACGACGTGTATTTCCCGTCGGGATAAACGCGATAAAAGTGTTGGTGTTTGGTCCGTGGTATTAATAGCTCTTCTACTTTTTTTTTTTTATTCAATAGATCACAATGTTAACTTCGATATTCGTCGTGAAACTAACAAAAACTCGTGCTCGTGACTGCGTTTGTGACTGCTAGAAAAAGATCGTAGCATTTTGCTTTTTCTCAAGATTATTTAGAAAAGTAGCGGTACGCAGTGATTTTTTGTGTGCAGGAGCATTTGCGAGCGCGCGCTGTTCGGCTCGATGCTGAATCCGCCGCGTAACAGAGAAATAATGTTGTCTCTCTTCGCGATACACACATTTGTGTGCGCCGCGTGAAAGATTGTCGCAAATCACCAATTTAAAAAGTTTATTTTTTTCAATTAAAAGTGTCAATTTCTGCATTTTTGCGCTTTTTTAACTGAAATTTGTAATCCAGCATCGATCCGAAAAAATTGCGCTCTTCGAATTTCTCAATATAATCTCGAACGCTTTGAACTCGTAAAAATCGAAGATAACGACATTTCGTGTCGAAGGTAACATCCGGTCGGAGGGAATAATGAAAATTGACGCGGAAAGGGGAAATGGGATGCTTTTTTTCTATATACTTTTATCTTATTAGGCCGAAAGCCGTCACTGAGACGCGCTCCGTCAAATTTTATATCCGGCCGGGCATTGTCTTGACGCAACGACTTCCATTTTCTTTCAACGTGCGATATTCTCGACTCTTGAATTTTTTTTACCACGCTTTGTGATCAAGTTAATTGAAGCAAGAATATTTTTTTTTTCAAATAAAATTATCTAAAGAATACGCTCTCTCAACGCTTCATCTCGACTGCACCATCGTTGATAAATGCATATTATATTACCGATGTTATCGCGGACAATAATCTAATTGACGCACACATTTAATCGCGAAACAATTTTCCGGGGAGATGTGACTCTGTGATACGCGGACGAAGTTGAGATTTTGTTAATGGCTCGACGGTTTAATTACGGACGTTGGACGAAAGTTTTAATTTTATTCGATGCATTTCACTCTTCCGGTTGGTAGCAAAAACGAACGTAATTGTTGCCAATCCTAATTTTCATCCGATGCGATTTTAATTTAATCCCGAACTCGACTTGATTTGTACACGAGGAGAGAATACGACGTACGCAGAAATTACAATTTATTCCGACGGCGCCAATTTTTCACTCCAAAGCGCTCGACAACACAAATTTTCAATCGGATTTAATTCAACCGGAATCTCTTGAATCTCTGCTTATATATAATACGGATTAAGAAGTTATCGCGCAGAATGCGATTATTTTCAGTTCTGTGAAAAAATAGGAAACACTTCATACGTCATCTTACGATCTTGCGGTATATCTCGTTAAATTACACCGGTAAAAACTCGCGTTCCTCTTAATTAATAATTCAACGGTTTGGGAAATCTTCCTTTTTATTTCGAGATCGCTCATCTATTTAACGGACAGGAAGTCGTAGCGCCAAGGATCAATGCCTCGCGAGGAGGCAAGCGATAGCACATCTCCGCGGTATCTCGGGATCACGTCCTATTAATATTTACAGTAAAGCCGCCTAATTAACCGCCACTCAATGGCCGCGCACGACGATGGCCGGTTGCCGACCCACTCGATCTCCATCTTTTTCATTTTTGTTTTTTTTTTTTTTTTCATGAGAGTTCCCGCACCTGTGGAAGGATGAGTCTGTACAAAAATGATGAGCCGCGCGCGCGCGTAAGATGCAGGCACACGGCCGCCGTGTGTGTGCGTGTGTGTAAAATGCACGTGAGACAACACAGATGCACTTTCTTGCGGTGGGACACACTCCGTCCGCGGGCTCTTGCGTCGCGCCGCTGCTTCGTGTGAAAGATACGTGTTTTACTCGTAAATTCTTTTTTTTATATATATATCCTAGCTTCGGGATGGACCCGACAACACCACCTGACGTCGGACGGCACGGGTATCTTCCTTTCAGGGGATGCACGAATGCGTGTTGGTCGCCTGCGCGGGCGACGACAGGGCGACAGAAAAGTCCGAGTCCAGCACGAGGTCGCTGATGCAACCTACGATGCCTTTTGTGTATCTGCCGCCCGTTGTCCTCACGACGTCCGGTGCACCGCCTTTGGAACAAGAAAACAAATCGGGTCTCCGTGTGAAAAGTGTTGCTCTCGCACAGAGAGATGATATTATTACGTTAATGGCCGCGCAGCGTAATGCAATTTCTGATAATTTCGTTATCTCTCTAATAGCATTTGTGCAAGATTGATTTTATCAACAGTGAATCTATTTTTAGTTCACATGTAACGAAAAAAAAACAAAGTGTAAAAAAAATTGCGATCTACGACAAGTATTGATTTTGTTGTTATGTTTGTTACACGCTTACCAACGTAAAGACCGGTATCAGTGTTCAATTGCCTCAGTTGCCCCGGGGAAGACGCTGAGACACCGGTACCACTATCTATTACGAGAGACGCCCATTGCTCGTTCCTAGAAAAATCAACGTTATTTATTACCGTAATCCATTTCTAACGTGAGATAGAACGAACATTTTTCTTTACGTTATTTTTAATAAGAAGCGAGTTCGCTCCAGAGCGAAAGATAGATATTTGATATTATGTCACCTCTGTTCGTTTTTGAGGCCAAATATACAGACGCGGATTAATATATTGAATACGTTTGTCAAATATTCCTTCGTGTAGAATTTTCTTCCTGGAAATAGTGTCGAGTATCCAAAGTGTTTCTTTAAACACTTGTTTGAAGTTATAATGTATACGGTGTATAAAAAGACCATTAATTTTTTCTCCCCTGTATTTGTGAGATCGTGTTGAAATTCCACGTTTTTTTTTTTTTCTCGATCGATCGATACATCGTTTAAAAGAGGTAAACGGCACGAAAATACAGGCGGCGGGCACGCGGAAGGGGTTGGGGATCGGGTAACGAAGCGCGTGAAGTGTTTGTTCTCACCTAACGGCCCTGATACGATGCCACAGATCGTCATCCAATCGCGTCAGATTATACCGTAGCACGGCTTCCCCGGAACCCAAATTATACGCGAGAGTGAGGTAACCGTGATCCAGACCGAGGGCGAGGAAGTCGTCGTTCTCGTCCCTTTGTTCCTGGGGATCTGATTGGCGGCCGCTCCACAGCAGCAGACCGCTGCTGCTGCTGGCACGGAATCTCATGTTGATGTCTACCTTGTAGCTGATTATCCTGCAAACGTCGACGAGTGTAATAAACAGTAATGTAACAAGATATCAGTAGTGTTGGCGCACAATGCGAGAGAAAAAGCAAAAACTTGCGAATTCAGATCTTTGACAAATCAAATGGGGTTTCTAAATGTTTACACTGCTATGTTTTTTATAACAAACTACGAAGCGTTTATTTGTTCTCGAGAGATAAAGTTTTTAAAACTCAAATATTAAGGTTCACGAGACGAGAGAGAAACAAAAAATAATAAAAGAAGGAAGGCGAGAAAAAAAGTGAGGACGTTTGTTTTATTCTGACCTCGATGTTCATGTGTGTGTTTTTTAATCGCGTTTCTGTTTATTTCATCAACTTTATCTCTACCAAAAACATTTAATAATTGCATGACTAATATGCGGTAACGAGAGAGAATGCTCTCTTTGTATTGTACTTCATTGTGCAATTATTATTTTCAGAACAAAGTTGCCAACAAAATATGAATTCTATTTCTCTTCAGATCTCTGTCTCTTTCTCTCTTGTCGGTGTGTATGCGCGACGTGACGCTCAATAAACGCGCGTGATTAAAGCGGGTCAAGGAGCGATTGTGTAGCACAACGTGCAACGCTGTTTACCGTCTCGCTCGGCTTTTTCAAACGCCGCTTTTTTTTTTTACCAAACTTTTGTGTGTTGCCGATTATATCCTGCTCGTTACAGAGCGCGTTGATGTGGGCAAGCCATCAGAATTTTTAAGTCGCAAAAACGCGGCTCACCGCAACGTGTACCGTTCACGTAACGTGATATAGTGGAAAACACACCGATTGACGTTCGCGTAAATACAAAAAATTATTTATTCCAGTTAACATCGAGAAAAAAAATCTAGAATCGAAATAATTTCATGTATGTAATTCACGGGACAACGCGAAGTACCTTTTCATCGTGTCGGCGTCGTTGTAATGCAGATAGCTCTCGCTCCCGGTGAAGCTCGGCACGGCTCTCTCATATTTCACGGACGTCACGCCGTCGGTGAATTTCGCCGGTGGCGAAACCAACGGCGTGTAATCGTCCGTCGCCGGACAGGGATGCGGGACACCTGGACGGCATCGACAGGTAAATCTCTCGCGAACCGGCCGGCACTCCGCGTCGCCGCAAGGTCTGGCCTCGCACGCGTGTCCGCAATTGCCCACGTTCATTCCGCCCAGCGCCTCAGCCAGTATTCCCACCTGTAACACAAATCATACCGGCGATATAGCGTACAAAACAAATGGGAACAATAACGTGCCGTGACAACTTGCAGCAAATTCACCTAAAAATATAGAAGAAACGGAAGGAAAAATAAATTTTTCTCGTTAGTTTATAGAACAAAATTACAAGAGATTTTTCTTTTTTTAGTTTTTTACAAACACACGAAGAAAGGAACAAGAATAATTTTGAAAAATAAATACAGACTAATTTATATCTTCGATTTGCGCGAAGTTATCTCTTGTACATTGTGATATATATTTTACTTAACAAACTATCAGTTTTCTCGTCGTCCAATTTTCCCGGCAACGTCTAATTCGTCGTTATTTACTCAGGTCCTTGTAATTAGAGCATGTAGATTGCATCTACTTCTCGTCTCAAATCTATTTCTCATCTCTTATAAAACGGCGGAAGTGATGACAGGGAATTCAAATTCGGGGCAATTCAAATGGGGAGTTTCGACGTCTTATCTGCGAGCCTCGGCAAAGACTCCGAACTCCGAGGCGTTTCCGAGCGGGTTGAGCATTATCTACCGCGTAACTTGGGGGCACACAGTCTCACTCTCTCCGTATAATCCCCCCGGCTGGTTCTTACCTCGCGATTATTCAGCACGATCGTCTGAATGCAGCCGGCGAAGCTGGCCGTAGTTTTCATCTTCGGCGAGTACATGTCGGACGACGGCGCGCCGCCCAAATAGAGATTCAACGGCAAGGATAATTGCGTGAACGCTCCGGGCGCCAGGATTTCCTGAGCCGGTTCATCCTCAACTTCCAGGCTCGCCAAGCGACCCGTCCTGGAGACCCGAACTTCGATCCACTCGCCGAGACGAACCGGATTCTCGCTTCTGAAACGATGATGCAGATAGCGTGCACTCAAAATGCAACATCATTAACCTCTGAGAGGCCGCAGGGTATTTTGCAGAAATTTTGCTAAAGAGAAAGAGAGAGAAAGGGGAGGGCAGAGGGAAGTTTCCTAATTAGATAGGTATAAATCCGTACGTTTGTGAGTTACATGATAAAGTGCAGTTTCCTGTTGGCGGTGACCCATTTTTCGGCCCGCTTTGATTCATTTTAGAAAAGAGCTGAAGGAACTATGTGACTGCAATAAAAAAAAAAAAAAAAAAAAAACATGCTAAAAAAGCATGAAAATGTCATTCCGCACTTTAATTTAAAATTTCCTCTTTGGGGAATCTATCTTTTTATTTATTCCGAAAAACCTTCACGAAATAATCTCTGATTATTTTGTTCGATGCGAAGTTATAAATTCCGAGCGAGAGCAATTTCGTTTTTCTTTTCAGAGTTTTTTCCTTCTTATTTCCGATATTTTTGTTCTTTTTAATGTGGTTTCTTTTGTGGTAAATCTCCGCGTTTTGAATAAAAAAAGTTGTGATTAAAAATAATTTAAATGTTTCTCCTAATAATTAAAATTCTCGCGATGTTCTAATTTTGATAATTACAATATTGTGTGCGCGCATCTCCCTTATTGCCATCTTCATAGATCGCGAACGTATTTTACTCTAATCTTTTGCTATCTTCCTCGCATGTCGCAAGAATTCTGAACAAAAGAACGTGAAGCACAATATGAGGGACAATATGACTCTTTCCGACTTGACGAGGTATGACGCAAAGTTCTTCAAGAGTATTCCGAGCGTCGAGGGCGACGAAAATGAGAGCAGGGACATGTATTATTTTCTTCCGGATTTTTCCGGACAATTTGATTTTTTTTTTTTTTTTTTGGTGAAAAAAACAGAGTTTTTCACGCACGCGGGCGAAGGTATATACGCGCGCACACACACATCCATTTTATATTTTCTACTTATTTTGTTTTGCGAAAAAAAAATCACTTGCGGTTGCACTGCAATTTCGTCGGGTATCGTATTTTTGCGCAGTTTGCTTTTTTTCTGTAGAATATCTAACATTGAATCGCAAAAAAACATTTTGCCCGGAAAAACGACGATACTTCCGTCGAAATAAAGCGTTCGCGAAAACACGTTAGCGCATCTGTGTAAAAAAAAAAACCGCGAAAATGAGGTTTGCGCTTCGGAAAATTGAAACGTCACCTTCGCCGTGTCCGCGCCAAGCAATTAACGCGGTCGATCTCTTTCTCTCTTCCTTCTTCTCTCTCTCTCTCTTTCTCGTCGCGTCTACAATTATAATCGACGTTAACTCGATATTGACAGAAGCTTCATTGATTTGATTTCTCAAGTAACGCCCGGGGGAAAACCGCGCCAATCTTGTTTCTCGCAAATTTTCTTCGCGGCTCATCCGGGAATGAAAATTCGCGCGCACATTCAACAACGCGCGCGGAAACTTGACGCGAGCTAGCGCGCGCGCGTTCACTATTCCTTTATGCGCCATTCAATTTGAATTTCGCGAAGTCGAGACGCGCGTCGACGCGCTTCGCATCGGGACAATGAATCTCCTCTCTCGCGGAAGAAGAAAGAAAAGGCCTGGGCACTTTTTTCTCTTTCGAACTCGGAGGCGGAAGAAATTCTCGCATAATTAATGTCGAATCGCACGAGGAAAGAAAAAATCTGTGTGATTGCAAGCGGGAAAGTAAATTGCTAATTAATAAAAGAAGCGAGATGGAGTCGGAAATTTTCATATTGAACTTTTCGCCCGGTTCGCGCTATTATGATAAAAGATACGACGCTAGCGGAACTTGGAGGCTTGTTAACTGTTTTTTTTTCCCCAGACCTTCCCGAGCTTAAATATCCCTGTTTAATGGCGCGCGTAATAAACGCGGCGTTTTTTTTTTTTTTTTTTACGCCGACGTTTTCGCGGTGGTAGCTTTTTATTCGGCCAAGAGGCCGTGTTGCATTTCCACGTGAGATTTATACGTTATTTGGCGGAACTAAATAGTAGATAGGATAGGGCGTGGGTGGTATAAACGCTCCTGTGTGCAAAAATCGTCCCCGGTGTTGCCAGAATATCACGATAATTACCGTATATTTTAAAATCCGTCAGAAATATCAATAAACGAAATAATATATGTTTATGCGATAGAAAATATATCGCGAAACGTATTAGCGCATGTGTATCGTTTATTTAGCGCAAACAAAATCAACGCTACAATAAAATAATATTTGGCTTTCTTTCGGATACATTATCAGATTGCTTAAAATATTTTATTTATTATTTTATCGCTGAAAAGCACGCGTGGATGTTTTTTCCAATATTCAGATTTCATTCAACGCCGAACAGAAAGTAGTTCGGCGGATATTCAAGCCGTCGGAATATGAATATATATACGAGAGGTATATTTCACAAAAACTTCATTACATCTTCCAAAAGAATATTCTTCGCGAGCAAGTAATATGTATAAAATATGCGTTGAGATAATTGTAAACTATTGTGCAATTTAATTATATTACGTAATAAACTTTTAATTAGTATAAAACTCGCAATATATATGAGTAATAAACTCATATTTTTGGGGAACATCCTGGTTTTTAAAAAACAATATTCGCGGAAACGGAGTGGGTATATGTGTGTAATCATTAGAAGCATATTTGCTTAACACCGGCGGTATAATTATCCGAAAAAGGTTCATATTTTCGCACAGGTTTATTTAACGATAATCTTATTGACGATGTTAATTGTTTGCAACAAATTAAATTAATTTAAACAATCCGATTATCCGCCGACGTTCATTAACAAGTCGCGAGAAATGTCAGAAAAATCTCCACGATGTCGATGTGAAGTTTTACATAACTTTGGTTTCTAGTTTTCACATAATGTTAAATAATTGTAATATATATTTGATGTTAAATATTTCACAATATTAAATACAATATAAAGTAACACGCGTATATAATATTGAATTGAGAAAATCAAAAGTGATATTAAAAAAAATAGCAAAAATTATAGGATCAATTTACAGTCGCTTTTGCTAAACATTTTCGTTTATTTATTCAAGAGAACGGTCACAGCTTTCGATCAATTTTACCAAATAATAGTATTCACCGTTAATTAACGCAACCAATTAAATCGAAACCCAACAATCAGCATTAGCAGCGTGCATTAACATTCCGTTCTCTCGTCGCAAAACAGTAACCCCACCTCCACACAAAAAAAAAAAAACAAAAAAGAAAGAAACGTGAGCGCTTTGCTTGCGATATCGACACGCGTGTCGGTTTAATTAACGCAGATTGTCTGACGGTTCATACGCAAACGATGCAATTAGCGCTCCGTCGCTCCCGACGAGCAAACGCAGAGAGGAAGGGTTTGCGCGATACGAAGCCGAGCGCGACGAGAGGGTTGCAACGTCTACCACGAAACAAACTCTGGCTCGAGGGCGGATTGTCACCTCGAGCTAGCTAGCTGGGGTAACTGGATGTTAGGTCGCGCTCGCCCTGCTTCGCTTTGCAGAAGTTGGTCGAGGGCCATCGGCTTACCTCAAAGTGGCAGGTCCTGTTCCGAGGTCGTAGGTGAACTGCACGTGGCCCGAGGAGAGATAGAGCGCAATAAAGTCACCGGTGGCGTCGCTGTGATGGCCGTTGTACAGTATCACACCGTCCGGCGCGGTCGGTTTTAACGTGACGGACAATTCCAGCCACGACAGCGACGTGTCCGCCAATCCCGGATAACGTAGGTAAGAGGATCCGTTGAAGGATGGAACCTGCGGGAAATAAAACACCGTGCGGTCTGAGATTGCATGGAAATGTCGTTACCGGAACGAAATGCATTTCGCCCCGCGCTTTTTGCCGCACACGTCTCTTTAATCGCCCGCCATTGGGCTAACGCCGAATGAGCCGCTCTCGCATTCGTTACATCCCCTCCCTTTCCTTCTCGTGCGCGCTCTTTCGAGAGCGCGCCAGTGAAACGAGTATATATTTAGCGCGCCGTGTATCTCGTGTCTCTCGCTTTGCATTCAATTTAGTTTTTTTTTTTTTTTTTTTAGCCGAAGTGACGTAACATTTTCGTTTTCTCGTTCGCGTAAAAATGTTTAGCATTCACTTCCACGAGAGAGAAACGTCTTTATATTCATTCCTTAATTCGATAATCTACCAAAAAGGAACTCAGTTTTCAATTAAATAAAGAATAACAGTTTTTTGCAAATTGCGCGAACGTGAAATTATGCGGAAAAGTTGGTTTTAATTAAAAATTGTTTTCAATTAAAACGCGTGCGTTTTGCTTTTTTCTTTGCAAAAAAATGATATTTTTTCTTTAGTTCTCGTCTCTGTGGGAGAGTAAAGATTCTTTTCTCATGTTCAAGATGAAGACATAATTGTGTTTTTTTCGCTCGAACTCACTTTGAATCTCTCTTCCTCTGTTGATATATGTAGGCAATATGCGTAGGTGCTACTTATTATTCTTATTATTGCACAGGTGCTTACGTTCGGTCTCTCGCGTTTCTCCCATGCGGGAACGGTAATTTTTCTCGTTCGTTGCGCATAAAGTATACAGGGAAACTCTTTTTCTTTCTCGTGCGCAACAGCTGTTGTTATTTAATTTACGTCGACGGGATTTTGCGCGCTCTTCGTAAATCGAAATGCAAATACGTCGTATGTCACTGTCTCGGATAATCTTTGATATGGCTGCATTCAAGAGCAATATACCTAATCTTAAGAGCAGTAAGAGAGGTCGAAGCAAGCAACCTTCCGTCTTAATGAGACCCGGCTGGTAATTGTTTGCACATCGGTTATCTCGCGAGATAAAGCGCGAAACGTTGAGGAGCAACGCACGCCCGTGCTTCGCTTCGCGCCTCGAAATTATATTGCCCCGAGACGTTTCGCAAGTGGAAAAACGTCAACGTGCGCACCTACCCTATTTACGAAACGAGAAATACGTGCGAGTTGAGCGCGAAATAGCGTGTTCGAAAAATGATTTTTATTTATATCGTTTCGATTCTTTTCCCGCGCGGTAACACCTTCGTTTCGACGGATGATAAACTCGCATTAAAGATGCAACCGAGTACACCATGTAAAGCTCGAAACACGCACGATTCTTTCTGCACGAATCTTAAATATTGAATCACAATATAATACAAGCGAGCACAGAAAGCTTAACACGTCTGTCTCCTCCCGAGCGGTTGCTCGAGCACGAACATGCTCGTAACTTCTATTTATGCGAGAGGAATTTCTCCGGGAGTTTTTTTTTCTCATTCCGGAAAAATATATTTCCCTCTCTCGGTAAAATCCGAAGAAATAAATGAAAGCTTTGAGGAAGAAAGAGACTCTCGCGCATCAGAACGAAGAAATCCAAATTATTTTCAGTAGAAGAAAATTCTCTACTAGATTCCTGAGAACGTAAAAAGAAGCGCACCGAGAGAAATTCTTTCGAAATGCAGTCCGCTTGAAATTTGTTTCTTTTTTGTTTTTCATAAAGATTTGTTATATGTGTTTCTGAAATCCGATAAAACTCTCTTCTTCCTTAATCACGACAATTCGACAGTCGTTCGCGTCTTTTTAGTATTTTTGCCCGAGAAAACCTGCTTTTCCAAGTTACGAGTATCCATTACGCATCAAATCACATTACGGATATAGTCTTTTTTTCTTTTTTTTTTTTTTTTGCCTCGAAGTTATTCAATTCTGTTCGCACTCAAACTGCCCTCCGGTGTACTTTTCGCGGGGTCGTCACGAGACACGACGAAATTTGAAGACTCAAAGAAGCTAAGACGACGAAGGGGAGTGTCCGCGCGGAAAATTCAACGGAGACGGCGCGTAAGACCGGTCATAAATTAATTACGACAGAACGGAACGAAACGGAAACTCCGACGGCGGCGGCTGTTAAGTGAGCGCGCGATACGCTCCTTTTAAGGAAAATTTCCCAATCCCCCTGTGAAATTTCTATCCTTCCCTTCTACATGCGACGCCTATGCGCGCTCGTTTGGCCTCCTTTCGTTTTCCCCGCTACGTAAAAGCTACGTACCGGTGATAAGGAGCTCCCGCGGGAGCGGAACTGGGGAAAGAGAGAAAGAAAAGTAACCTTGTATTATGCGAAAGACCAGCAACTCCTAAGATCCCTCGGGGAACACCCTTTCTCACCGTTTACGACATCGTCCTTCTGCCCGGCTTATGTTGGTCCTGATGTTCACGGCAGTCTCTTCTACCGGCACGAAACATCGTCGATAGATTTGCGAGTGATTTACGAGATCGTCTTCACGCGCCGCGAACTATCGAGCGCACACACAACGCACGTCTTGTCGCACGTGGGCTCTTAAGAGCAACATGAAACACTACTAACCCTTTCGCTACCGGAGCTGGTCTCTCGAACAGCGTCTCTATGTAAGCATGTTTACGACACACGTATTATTATACAGGTTTCACTTGCGTATCAGACTAGCTTACCTCATGCACGAAGTTACAGCGACTATAGTGTTTCTTCTTGGTAATAGCTATGGAAATAATTTCCCGAGCACTTACGGCCGTTCTTACAATAGCGAAGGGGTTAAAATACGCTGTTTCACCGCGTTTCCGAGCGACGCACACGTCGTTCGAACTTTCCAACGGTGTCTTATCGTCGATTCTATCGATTTCGAGAAAACGGCTTTTTCGCTCGTCACAAGTGCGTTTACAATTTTAATTAAATTACGTACTTCGGCGCGAATCAATGCAATCTTAAATGACATTAAATGACGCGACGTTGTATTTAGTTTTAGCACCATCTACATTGTTAATAATCACTCGCCAATTGATTTATGAGGACGATAATGAGAGCGGTTGATAATTTTAATTTATATGCAATTACATGCCAAAGAGTGCACACGCCTAATAATACGATATGGTCGTCAAAAGATTTACAATTTGTTGCATTTGTAATGATATTAAAATTACACGCGTCATACTGCTTATTGCATTTTTGAGAGCCACATCTCGTTTTATTTCTGCATTATTGGGAAACGAATTTTAATACAAAAATAATCCTGATAAAAATGCAAGGAGAGGATATGACGTGTGAATAATTGCAAGATATTACACGAGCGTCGAAAGAGTCAATAATTATTTACGAATAATTTCCTTTTTTTTACAGTAGACTAGCACAACACAGGCGCGCGCTATGCGCACGTTATTATTGTTTTTATTTTAACGTGTAGTGTCAGTAAACACAACCTGTCATCGCAATGACAGCTAGTATATATGGTCTTACAAATCATATTATACACATTAGAAAGATGTCAGAAATAACACACACACACACACACACACACACAATATATATATATATATATATATATATATACCGTAATTACATGACCAAAGTCCGTAACCCCGCCGCGGCCGCGCGACCGGGGTCAGTGACCCCGCCAAGGTCGCGCGGCCGAGGTCAGTGACCCCGCCGCGGTCACGCGACCGAGGTCGGTGACCCCGCCGCGGTCACGCGACCGAGGTCAGTGACCCCGCCGCGGTCACGCGACCGAGGTCAATGATCCCGCCGTGGTCGCGCGGTCGAAGTCAGTGACCTTACGGTAGTATATATATATATATAATACACATATAATATATAATATAAAGTATAATATTATAAATATATAATAAATTATATGTATAATATATATTATTTAATCTTATATATAATATAATTTACAGTCACGTTACTTTAGTCACGTGTTGTTTTTCTACTCTTTCCTGTCACGTGACTTTACTTTAGTAACGTTTTTAATTTTCTCCACGTATTCAACGAACTGTCAAAATCGCTTTTCTGTCATTATTTACTCTCTTGATCTTACCGATTCGATTCGACTCGTTTTTTTATATACGATCTTTTTCCATTTGCGTATAATTTCACGTCAAAGAATAACGTAAGAATACGCAACGCGTTGTGCAATTTCTTGGGAAATGCGCCTTGCGCTCATTTTCTCGCTTCGGAAACACCGCGCAAACTCTTGCAAATGTGCACGTATATTCCGAGTTGCAATAATTAAATTTAACAAAGAAAAAATAAACGACGTTTATTTTTCTCGCGTTCATTTCGATCTAACGGTAATCTAATAGCAGGTCGCCGCGCATTTAGTTTTATCTCTTTCCGTCGCATAGACACATACACACACATAGAAAACGCAAGAGAAATTCACCGGATATTTATTTACGCCGGAATTGGAAGGAGCATTACCTTTCTCGTCTTGCATCGAAATGAGCCAATAAAATGTGTCGCGCGTATTTCTTACGATAAAAGCACGTAGCCATTCGAACTGTGTTTCTTCGTCTCAAACAGTTTCACTTCGGCGTTAGAGTTTTATTTCGCGGACGACGGCGACGCGTCTCTCTTTGCGGATGTCCGCAAACAAACAAAATAAAAAAAAATACTCGCCCCCTTCCGTAAATTACGCCAATATCACCGACGACGTTTGGTTATTGCGGCTATATCTCTTCCGCCTGCACGTTAATGGAATTAAACTCCGGGGCACGGGACCAAAGTTCGCGAACGAGTTTCGAGTTTGAAGTGATACTCGTTAACTCGAGCCCTTTATGGTCGTTTCTCCGGCTAGTTATGCTCGGATTTCAAGATCGGAAACGCAGCGACGAACATCGTCCCCGCGAAGAATATATTTCTTTACCGAAGTCCTTTTCCGAGTTGCATTTGGTGGCGGAATAAAATCGTCACCAAATTGGGGGTTTTTTTTTTCAACGCGCCTCGAATCGCGATCATTGTTAGCAGAACGTTATAGGGAACTGAATACGCAAAAGTTACGTTAATTAAGTTAGTAAAATTACTAATTTATAAATATAAATTCGAAACCGGAAACAAGCTGCGCATGAAAACTTAATAGCTTCAACAAACCTGAGCCTCATATATCGTAAATATAATATTACGCGTTTGAAACTGCGTACATTAACGCCACAGGAATAACATCCAGACTTTTTACACGCGAGCGTTAACATCATTTTCAATTAATGCTGGTATCTGTAAAGGGTTTTAAAAATGTAATATTTGTGAAACGCACGCGTTTTTCTTGTTTTCTTTTTTTTTTTTTTATTCAGGATTATTCGCCGAACAGAAAGCGCGGTTTGATATATTGAGTATATACGTTTCGGAATCAACGAGCGAAACAAAGTGAGAATCCAACTTCCGTCAGGAAAAACTCGAGCAAGCGAGTTCAGCTTGGCACCGAAGGCGAAGCACCTGATGCGGCACTAACAAGTCGTCGTCGCTGATGCATGTAAACGCATCTTTTACGCTTCAGCCTCCGGTGTCATTTCGCGTCGCGCCGGAAGTAATATCGGTCGAATGCCGATATCAATTTCATCGCAACGGGCCGAATGTAACCACCTTCTCTTCCCCCGTTGCTTTCCGCTATCGCCGCGGTCGATATATCGTCTATAACCGTGCATAATCGGCGAGCAAACGGCGTATATACGCGAGGGCGAACCGCATACGGTGACTTCCGGCGGGCGGTGACCGCGTTCGCTCTATTAAGTTCGTCCCGCTTATAAATAGCGAGAATTTCAATGCTCATACCTCATATCACAATATTTTCCACACATGCGCACACGAGTATTTACATAGATCGACGCGCAAATTATTGTCCTTCTATTTATTTAAACCGCTCTGTTAGCAGCGTGAAAGTTAATTACTCGCAATCGCCCATGCTAAAATCCGCGAATAAAAACGCGTCATTTACAGAACGGTCGTTCCGACACGATCGATCCCTGCATTCCGCAAGTGTTTCGCAACATTGGCACAGCGGAATGTGCATTTTCAGGACAGTTTTTTTTTTTTTTTTTTTTTTTCCATAACAACGCGACGCGAATGTGGGAAGGGAAAGCATTTTATGCGATCTGAGAATGAAAAAACCTGTTTCTCCAACGGAGATTTCGGAAATTCTAATGCGTGATTTTCATGGAAACACATCTCAGTCACGAAACTACACAAAACACTTTCCTTTTTTTAAATTTAATTTCGCGCAAAATTCCAACAACAACGTATTGGCGGACGTGAGTTGTGCAACAATTTACTCGCACGTTCAGCGCAAAACTTGAAAAATTATATTATTCTTTCGAAAGCAATTTTTCCAACAAAAGAATGAACATGTCGCTTTAAAATGTAATTTAACAGATACATTTTCAACATTGTATTTCGTATTAAAAGATCCTCGCGGGAGGAAAACTTCTTACTGTCGCAAATGCCGATAAGCATTTCTCATTGTTGCGCTCAAGTTTTATGTCAATTAGTACTAAAATTACGCACTAAATTAGTACTAAAATTTCTCACGAAAGTGACATTTTGCGCGGGCGAGATAGAGTTTCGTGTTACCGTCAAGTTTCGCACAAAGTTTATCTACTCGTGTGCGAGTCTTGTCTAGGTGCTCGTGTGTTATAATTCGGGAATGGATTCGATTACCTGCAGGTCCACCCGGGTCTCGCAGAGATCGCCCGTGAAGCCAAGCGGGCAGAGACAGACAGCCGTGTCGCCCCCGGTAGTCAGACATTTTCCACCGTGGGAACACGGCACCTTGCTGCACCTGTCGGCCGTGCACTCCTCTGGAACGACAATAAATCAGGCGATTTAATAAAAGTTCCTGCGCGGATCGCGAAATCAGGAGTTACATCGAGTAGGGGGACAAGCGGGGGTGAAGTCAAAGTCAGAATCCCGGAGTCGGCAAAGAGTCGTCGTCGTCGTCGTCGTCGTCGTCGTCGTCGTGACTGCGATTCGACTGCGCGCGAGATAAAACCAATAAAACCGCGACCTCGGATTTATCGGAGCGAAGAGAAGTATCAGTTTCTCTCTTCCGTCTCATTGTATTTTCGACGATATCATTTAGCGCGCGCGAACACTGACACGGGATTACATTTTGTTTTGTGTTTGTTTCTTTTTTTTCGTTATGCGAGAGAGTATATTTGCGTAACGATTTCTCGCGATATAACGTTCGACGTCGAACTTTACGACGCGCCGGAAATACGCGATTTTTCTCACTGGTTTTGCGAGATACATACGTATGTATGTATTTAATACCGTGTGTACTTTTGTGTCAGTGGTTACCATCGGTGTTCCCATCGTTTGAAGCAGCTTCGTCGCCGCTACGAAACAAATTATTGTTTTCGCGTCCGGAGCGTTTTTAAAAAACGGAGGTCTGTAAAAAAAACTAAAGCCATTGTTCCCACGTGACAATAGCTTGTGCAACAAAGAAGGGAACGAAAATTGAGAGCCGTTAATTAAAGTCGGGTTCCAACACTTCCGCGATTGCGCACAGCGACAATACAAATAATAAATTGTTTAAACGCGCCCGATAATTTAGTGAACTGCAAAGATGGGAGGCAAACTTTTTCCATCGAAAATCTCAGTTCCAGGAGAGAAGAATCGAATTAGTATCGATCTCGCGATAATGAATGACTCGGACAAGTTTTACTTTTTTTTTTTTTTTTTTTTTAAGGAGTTATTCGTTTTGCGCGCAATGCCAGAGTGTTCAAAAGTTCGCGAGTCGAAGTTTTCCAATCTAACGGGTGTTATCTTTTCATGAGGCTTGTGTTCTACGACAAACGTAGAACGAATCGAAGAAGAGTAACGCGAAAAGTAACTTTCGCGAATTCGACTCGTCTCATCCATCTTACCCTATGTCATTGCAACGCGATGATTTCGATGGATTCGCAAAAACCAAAACAGAGCGAACGTAAATAATTTATATTTCGTTAATTAACATTTCAAATGTGTCACCGAGATCATTTGCCAGCACAAAATTCATGAAGATCCACACATCACTCTCGCAATTTGCGATCTGTTCAGAGTTGTGTTATTGCACATTTCACTATCTAAACAAGACGTTCAATATAAATCTAATAACTAAAACAAATACAAATATAATTACGTGAGTATCAACATATCTGTAGAATGACAATAGTAATTATACGCACAATAGTGTTTACGCACGTACGAATGGTAAATAAAAACGGGGTTTATATTCACGGTAATTTCGTTCTTTGTAAATTTGCATAATCGACCTCGATTAACCTTTGATAATTAATACGCCGTTGAAGAGCGCACTCCGCGCGTGCGATATTTGACGAATTAATCGGTTTATAATCGAGAGTACGTTTCGAAAATGCGCTTCAACCAATTTGTGAAACGGACTACATTTATGCGGGATTGTTTATCGCACTCGTTTTTGACGCTAAAACAAATCGCATAAAGTTAGTTCGCGCTTGTTTTGTTTTTCTTTTTTAGTGTTTTTAATCGGAGAATAAACTTTTGTCACGTGGGTATTGGCTAATTGTTATAACATTAATAATAACAAATCTCTCCGTTACGCAATTATGACCGAATACTAATATCTAAATTATGTTCCGCGCACATTATGAACAATGGCGCGCTCGATGCTACAAAATGGAGATAACATTTGCTCGGTCGCGCATCGTGATATAAATACCAGACTGACGTCCATTACTCAGAGATAATTGATGCGAAGCAGCTGTTGCATCGCCGGGCCCTACATACGACTTCCCGCCCCAAATGTTGACAATTAATTACCAACACTCCGCTAACGATAACGATGATAATTACTCGCGATAATCATAGTCTTGTTCCCCGAGTTTCTCCCCCTTCGCGAACGATAGCTCGCGATCGTATCGTTTCCGATGTAATTAAACAGGGCGTGTCTGTCGCCGCCACGTACCGAGCAGTTTCAGGAAGAGGTTTTTTTTTTATGCCACCAAACAAGTTCAACAATCGATAGATCCGAAACAAAAAAAATTTGAAACCACACGGAATAGTTCAGCTCCGTGCATATATCGAAAATATTGTATGTATTGCTTGTTGTGAGAAAATAAAGTGTTTAAAGTGAAAATAAAACAATTCTCTACGAACACACAACGCCTATTTGAATCTGTGTTATTATGCTCGCGATCAATACAAATCTCGAAGAGAATTAAATAAAAACTGTTACTCCCTAAAATAATAGCCATTTACACAAGTTTAATAGTTTTTTTCACTGAAACAAAGTAGAAATGGATACTTTATACAAATAAAAAAACAAACACACGTAAGTAAAAGAGCAAAAGTAATTCTACACATTTAAAAACCAAAAAAAAAAAAAAACCGTCATGTAAAAGTGTTTTGCATTTGACAAGTTGCCGTTCTCCGTTTTTGAAAATTATTATTTAGTCGCAACAAAATTGTTATTGAATTTGAATCGAAGGTTTTTACAGCGCTGTGTCAAGTATCAAATATTTCTTTTCAATTTATGGCTGTCAAATTTTATTTTACTGTCTCTTCTATATGCACGTACATATATATATATATATATATATATATATATATATATATATGTGCGTGTAGGTCATATATAAGAGAGACAGTCAGTTTTTCTATTTACTTCTCATTTTAGTCGATCTTTAAAAACATTTCGATCCACGTTATTTTATCGTCCTTCTCTCTCCGTAGAAAGAAAGAGAGAGAAAATTTTATATTATTTTTATATTATACTCTCTGCGAATTGTGTGTATTTACGTACACAGACATTTATGCGCGCGATGCTATTCCGAAATTTAATAAAATACAATACCTGCCGATAAAATTCCAGCATCGACATGACAAGCATCGCCATTCAACTATTCCATATATTAAATTCGTTCTTTTTATCTCCGATATAGGTGAGGAATATCTTTGTCGAATAGAAAATAAATTTTCTTTTTTTTCGTGCGTTTTAAAAACGATTTGACGCATACGCGTGACAATGCGACACGCGAATTTCGTCGCGTGATAAAGTACATTGCTGCAAAAGAGAACAAACGACATTAACGCGAAACCGTCGGCGCGTCGTTTATTAACGCGCGCGCATCTACCGACAACTAAATTTACTAAATAATAAAGCGACCTCGCGCGAGCAGTATTATTATTATTATTATTATTATTATTATTATTATTATTATTTATGTTTTCCATCACGGCGACAGTTGTTTAAGCTGACGCGGAATCGGTGCTGAAATATTGGAAACAATTAATAACTATAAACTCTAATTAGCTTGCCTTACAACCGCGCCGTGGCCGCGCGGGATACGACAAGCTGCTACCGGGTGACCGAATTAACAGCTCTATATCGGCAAACGGACAACAGGTGTCACATGAATTTAGTCGGCAAATCCTCCGACGCCCGCTCGATTTAACTCCGAATATATATTCGTCGTGTTTTTTTTCTCCGAGAAGCGAATTCCCCAAGTACACCGAAACGCCCCGGACGCGCATCTCGCCACTTAACTCGCCGAGGAATACAACTGTAATTAGCTGAACCGCCGCGTCGCGAACGAGTTTCGTATTGAACTTGGGGCGAAAGAGAGAGATATATTGCCAATTAAAATCCAATACGTTTTATTACGCCGCAACGGCTTTCTGCGCCCCGAGTATATATTTCGCGTGTCTTGTAAACGGGAAAAATCTATCTTGATAAATGACCAACGCCAAGGATTTATATTAATCTCTTTTGTGCTTTTTAAATAAAAATATATGAAGATGTGTGTGTACAGATATAGTTTTTCAAAATAAATTAAATCGTAAAAATTACAAATCGTATTTTTAAAATATAATTATGTCAAATAATAGAACACGAGTGTGGTCACAAAATCGTTTGAGATTGCCGGGGCAATTCAATTTCCGTACGTGGGTTTAAAATCCGATCACGAGAGAGAGTCGCTCGCGATTATACCAGACCGAACGCCGAGAGGAAGACCGGATGTTACGCTACGAATACTCTCTGTACTCACCGACGTCGAATCCATTCGCGGCATCGCCTTGCGGAGCCAACGGGAAGCGATAGTGGTGCTCGTTCGCCTCCAAATGCCGGATGCAGCCCTTAAATCCGGTCCTCACCGGAAGTCGCTCCAAACCGGTCGTGTTTCCGGGACCGCCAACGAAGAGCGGCTCGCGGAACGTAATTCTCGAGAACAAGCCCTGCAATTGAAGCCGGAATTCTCTGGTTACACGTGTGCAGCTGCGCACAGCGCAATTGCGACTGTCTGATTAATGCATGAAATTATTCCATTCGACACGTATAAGCCCCCGCACACACCGAGGGCTACGCTTCATCCCCGTTAAATATTTCCGGACGACAGCGATATAACAGCAGTACAAATATTGTTACATCACGTGTGAAAGATATTTCCGAGACTTGGATGTTTGAATTGTTTCGCGATCAGTCATGGAGTATTTATGCAACTTAATTATTTCATTGTGATCTCTGTCTATCTCTCTATTTCTCTCTTTACGCGGAGAAAGGAATATGTAAATAATAAAAATTCAATTTCCAAACAAACTTTAACATTTTTGTTTATAGAAATAATAAGATAGTGTCGATTTTTTTTTTTTTTTTTTTTTGAAAAACTAAATAAAATGTTTGGACTGCGCGAAGTAAGAAGTCATAGTTGCAAAACGAATAAATTGAAAATTAAAACTCGGGCGGAAACAACAACGCAACGGTTATTGCAAACGAAGCAAAACGACGCGCGACAAGCGACGCGAAATAGAAAATTCCTCCGTATCTCTTGCAATCCGTGCTATTTTCGCGTCACGCGTTTTTCGCATTCTCTGCCGAGCGCGCGCGCATCGTACGACAAACTATGCCCATTGTCAGCCAATACATAACGTCGTTTTATCGCAGATTTTATATTCGAGTGCGCGTAAAACGCGCACGATCATATGCAAGACCGTGTCGTCGCTTCTCGAATTCTCGAAAAACTTTCTCGAGTCGAAATCAAAGACAACGGTGATCGTCGTGCGAACGTTTTGCTGACCGATTTTGTTCTAGTTTTTCGCTTTCTGTTTCACACAGAGAAAGAGTGAGAGAGAGAGAGAGAGACAGAGAGACAGAGAGAGAGAGAGAGAGAGAGGGAGAAAACGGGAGCTGGCGAGAATAGTAGAAGACAGTAGAGAGGTCAGGGGTGGCTTCTCTAATTACAACGCTGTCGTTAGGACACCGAGTGCTTAATGGCACTCTAGGATAAAGTGGGCTTGAAACGCGAAGCCATTTGCCGGCGATGCTGCCCGATTTTAAAGGTAATTAAACCTAGCCTGGGAAAAACAGATGGGTCGTGAACCAGCCGATAATTCCTCGTTATCATACCGCTATTCTGGACGCCCGAGAGACTCGTTGAAGAAAAGAGGATTGGTGGAAAAAGTGGATGAGACATTTATCGACGGTACTTGATATTCAGTATCTCTCGTCGTCGTTGTCGTCGTTGCGCCGATCGTGTTTGGACTCGATCAGCTCGGACGTGCTCTCGCCGAATTTAAAATATTAATATTTACGCGTCACACGATATTCCTTGAAAAATACATGTCGTACAATTCATCGCGCGCGATTGTTATTAATATTTTATTTTCTCGTCCAAAACAAAACATATACGTATCTACTTCTTTCTCTTCGTTTGTTGAATCCCGACGAATTTTTGCGCGAGCATTTTCAGGGAGAACGCTCGCGAAGTTTCAAGTGGGGGACTCATTTGTTCACGAGGTACAAACACAACGAAATGTATGTGTGTGTAATAACGACGCGCGACACAACAGAAAAACAATATTACGCGGAAACATTATCAACTTGGTAACTTGACAAATTAGTATAATCCAGTCCTCGGCGAGTGCTTTTGAAAGGTTCTCCGTTATCACGAGACGAGCGTAAAAAGGTGATGTAAGTCTCGCTTACACTCCTAATCCTTCGCCCTGGCGCTGCATCTCATTTGCAACACAACAAGGCGCAATATCCGGGCGTCGCGGTGTCATGAAGAAGCGATGCAAAGCAAATTGAGAGACAAAAAAAAAACCTGGCAGGAAGAAACGCGCGCAACAAGCGCACGTCGAATGCGATTAAAATAAAGAAAGAGAAAGAGAGAAAGAACGAATGTTGCTTAGTTAACAATAAGAGACGTATGTATACATTCTCTCGTTTTCCTTCTCTCTCCTCTCTCGCGGAACAGAAAACCTAACGCATCAAAGAACATTACCCGTGAGTTTGCATCAGAAAGGGAGCTTGTATTTCACTCTTACGGCACGCCTTGGCGCATTGTAAATTGAATCGCGGACTCTTAATTAAAGCGCGTTTTCGCCGCACTTTGAGAAAGAGTGTGTGTGTGTGTGTGCAATCCACTCGTTGAAACAAATAAAGCTATTGCAGCGTGTTTACTTGTGTACACACGCGCGCGCGCGCTTGATGAGATTGAATATATTAATCTCGAAAGTGATTAATTAATTCTCTCTGTGTCCGAATCATGTAAATATTGTATAAATAAAATATCCGATGCGTCGTGCCGTAAAAACATTGTTAAATCACATTGTGACGACATGAATGCTCGTTCTTTGATATGTATATACATATATATATATACATATGTGTATATATATAACGTAATGTTTAAAAAAATAATGCAACGTTTAATTGCGTGTTTGAGCATCGTTAAATATTGGTGGTTAGGTATTACAAACATTGTAATATGCGTGGTTCGTAAATCACATTTGATAAGTGAGGTCATCGTTGGGTCATCGAGTCACCGGTAATTGCGCTGTTTTAATTTTCTTCCTCTCTTTCTCTCTCCGCGCTCGTAAATAATTATTGCATTTGTTTTTAATGGCAAACATTAATAATGCCATTGTGCAAAACTGGCGCGCTCTCGTGTGTGCGCATTATAATACAATTTGAAGAAAACACACAATACACACATTCTCCTCCTTTTTGCTCGCATATCTATTGAAATTATTAACGCAAATATTACTCCGCAAAAAATAAACATTTCCCGCACTCTCGAACTATTACAACGCGCGCTTTGTACAATTATCATCTCTCTCTCTCTCTTTTTCTAATAAAATCACAATTATAAATAAAAATAAATAAAACGCAAGTAGACACAGTACAAAAGGTTTTTTTTCCATTTCTCTCTCTCTCTCTCTCTCTCTCTTTCGCTTTCTCTCTCTCTCTGTGCGGTTGGTTTTTGATATAGTTAAGTGCCCTGCACTCAGAAAGAACGTTTTGAAGCAGTTTCGCGACTACTAAAAGCCTTTTGTCAAGATTTTCGCTTTCAGTCAATTCTCACTTTTAAAACCACGTCTCGCGGTCGAGTATTTCCGCGATGGCTTATTCGAGTGCATTCCGACGAACTGGGTTATTCTTGTTATGCGGTAGTTCTCGCTATATTTTGCTGGAAGTTTTGGAGACGCGCGTGAGAGCAACCGGATCGAAACCGGATTAATATGGAAAAATAGGGTGTTTTCCGGAACGGACGACGATTACACGGCCTGCCGGAAATACCGCGTTCGGACGAGTTTTATGAGCGGAGCGACTCTTTTTCCTGATTGGATTGATCGAGAAGGCGCGGCCGTGACGCCGCTTCAGGGTGCGGTTCTTCCCTCTTTTAATCTCTCTGCCATCTGTCTCGATATATCGAACCGCTCTCGTTTTAGCTTCTTTACGTCAATGTCGTGCCGCATTTTCTTCAGAAATTTTGCACTTTCATGTGAACTATTTTCGTGTCATGCTGTCAGAATGCGTTTAATTCTTGTTTTCTCGATGAGAGAAATCAAGATGTTTGATCATTGATGCCAAAAGTTGTGTTTGTTTTATTTATTTATTTATTTATATAAAAAATCTGAGTATAAATATTAACACGCAAACAAATACATAAACAGTTACGAGAAGATTGGCGTTGGTTTTTTCTCTTGTATTATAAAAGAACATTAGGAACTGTTATTGACGTTGCGTGTGTGTGGGCACGCGAATGGCGCGATAATGCTGTTCTGACAATAAGAAATTAGGATCTTTTCGAGAGAGACATCGCTGTTTACACATACACACACACACACACACATACACAATCTTATTTCTTGCGATATCCGGGGCGACGAAAATAGGACAAGAACTTCTTACGCGGCGCGGCGAGCTTCTGCGGCTGCTAATGCAACTACCGGCGAAATGAGAATTTTCAAGAAAGCCGAAGTTTCTCAGCTAACATTGTATAACGCGTTTTAGCGCACATCGATATAAACCCGCGCCAACTAAGTTTCGAGTTTGCGCGCAAAAATATCGAGAGAAAGAAGGTCAAAAATTCTCGCGCGCGCGCAAGCGCCCCGTGATATACTTCTTTCGAAAAAGAGGGAAGCTCCGCGTTCGAGAGATGTAAGGAGAACGTTTCTTCAATTTCCGTACTACATTCTCTCATTAAAGTTTTCGCCAAGTTTTGGCGAGATACAACTGCGTTTAAATGTGCAAGGGGGGAGGAGGGTTCCGCTTCGTCTGCCATTAAACTTTTCGTCGAGAGTGGATTTTTTGTGGAACGGAAACGATTTTTATTTTATCACCGGCGTACCGTGAGTTTCAATGGCGCGTACGTTCGATAATAAAATATATATTTAACTAAAATACATTAACTGCATTGTTTCGCGCGCGATGTTATTCCGGAGCGGTGAGACTCCGGACAATGAGGGGGCAATTATTTTTTCAAATAATATCTCCCACATATTTTATCGCGTTTGTTTTCTCTTTCTTTCTTTTACCGTGTGTCGCTCGTTTAATTATAAAATAGTTCCAAAAAAAAAAAAGTAAAAAAGACGTCGACTTTTTACTTTTTTTTGTGACGTGGGTCGCTGTGATGTTTTCAAACAAAGTTTTAATTAGCAAAATGAACTGCTTATTTACCGCTACATGGGCGTCAACCAGATCACCATTATCGCAATCAAATTGTGTTTTTCTCACTTGCTACGTTACATAAAACACGACGTGAGAAAGTCTCGAGGGAGAGAAGCGAGCGAGGGAGAAAGAGCGCGCGCGTGAACGTCGCTCTCGTTGTAAGAATCTCGGGAATTCGAATAAACTCACCGGTAATCCCGATAATACGTCTCGCCGCGGAATATCGATTCCCTCATTGAATCCCTCCCTCGCGGTATACATACATATACGAGGGGTGAAGAGAGAAAGAGAAAGGGAAGGGGGTGAGAGAGGCAAATAATATCCGGGTCGCGTCTGGCCTTGATGGAAATAAAATGAAGTGCCCTCACCTTCGATCGTCCCTCCACCCGTTTCTCCTGATTCAGCTGGATCCAGGCGTCCCATCGATGTCTGTAGACACTCAAAGTGTTCCACTCATTCAGCTTCACCGTCTCCGTGCTCCTCACCGTGCCCACGCCGCTCCCGCAATCGAACCTTGGCGCCGCAGAAAGTGTACAGAGGGGAGGTAATGTTAATCGATCGGGAATGTCAGGCACGTAACGCGAAATATCAGACATTGTCGGTCGAGCGAGAAGCCCATTACGGCGTTTCTTTTGATAGATTATCGCGCGAGCACAATATAGAGATTTATTACCTGTCACAATCGCGAAACGGTCACACTCGGTGTAAGTACCGAGAGAGAAACTCGTGGAAAATATAATATTGCGGAAGATAAATTTATATAAAATTGAAACGCCGTAACACACTGAATGTTAAGTTTTTTGTTCTACTTCGATTATATTATTAATATTCGCGTTTGATTTGCGCGATGTGTGTTCTTCTTTCTTTTCTATGTGAAAACACGGTTTTTGTGTGGCACAAAATAGTTTGCCAAATGCGACGATAAAAAGCTCTTTTTTTTTTTAATATCGTAATGGACGCGCGCTCGCACAAACACGCGAATGACGCGAAAAAAAGAATATGGCCGATATTCAACTACGTCTGTCATCGTTCCCTCCGATAGAGCGCACCGGCTGGCAATGCGTTCGCTGCCGCTTGCAATCAATATGGAAATCATCGTTGGCGCTCGATAAGCCGTACACGATCATAAGCGTAAAGTAATCGGCTGATATGTAAGCGCGCACCGTTAATGCTCCCTCTGTCCAGTTAATAGAACAACAAATCCACGCGACTAATCGTTTAGCGCTCGATTAATGAATTGTGGAAACGAATCCGGGGGAAACAATAGACGCGCGCGGCCAACGTCGACGGGCGCGCTGCCAATGAATAAATTATACACGACGCGTTTGACGAATGCGTTCATGAATTCGGAATCCTCGATCCATAATTTCAATTCTCTTTGTGATGTATACCCTCTGCTAAATCCGAATGGACGTTATTACACAGAAATCCATCTTCTGAGAATGAATACACACATCCTCTCTCGGTTTTCAATAATGGAATAATTGCCAATTCAATCAAACTATATATAGTTAGTTTTTTTTTGTCATTAAGCAATTACCGCGTTAGCAACCCTCTAAATACACATTCTTACTTTTATATACGTCGTATAAACTAATTTTTTTATGCCGAAGAAAATGTTTTATTTGTGATATCAGTTGTTTTTATGCTTGTTGTATGAATTAAAAAAAAGATATACTACCGGAAAAAGCGTGTATAAATAATCACAATTGATACCCTCGATATTGATTGTTGCTACTTTTATCTTGACGCTGACTGGACGTTTCTTGGATGTGTTTCTCGATTCATGTCGTACGAATCAAGAGGCACGGTAGTGCTTCTTGTACGCGAAATTCATGCGACTGAGAAGCGAGAAGATTTTTATGAAGCAATATCACAGTACTCGCCAACACACAGAGAAACGAAACACAGCATGGCGGTCTTACAAACCATATAATACACAAATGAGAGGGGTTAGAAATAACACATGAAAATCACATTCGAAAAATAGAAAAAGAGAAAAGTGGAAAACTAACAAGTGACTAAAATCACGTGTACTTTACTACGACTGTACTTTAGTCACGTGTCTTTAAAAACGTGACTAAAACAAGATCACGTGACAAGGAAAAGATGACCACGTTTCTTACCGTGAATTTCAACAGGTTGTTAGGATTATCTTCAAATATCTTCGTTCATAAGGCACAAACAAAAAAAGAAAAACACAACAATACTTTTTTTCAATTTTTTATCCCGAATCGATTGAGACTAAAACGAAGTCAATCGATTGAGTCGTTCCTAAAATACAACCATTTCATTTTTTCGACACATTATTATATACTCAGTTTCGCGTAAAACAAGCACGGTGCGCCTCGCGCAGTTCAACTGTCACTTTGTTGCGCGTGAACTTTGCGAGAGGCACTACCGTGTCTCTTATAACTGAGTCGGTTAGGTTTACATCCTGATCAGTTAGATTCAAACGGTTAAGTTTACATTGACCGGGTGAGTACACATCCAAGTCGGTTAGGTTCATATCTCGATTGGTTAAGTTTACGTTGTGACCGGTCAGGTTCATATTCTGAGTACGATTCACATTCTGGTTGGTCAGGTTCACATACTGTCTGGTTACTTTCTTAACTGAGTCGGTTAGATTCACTATCTGGTCGGTTAGGTTTACATATATCCTGGTCGGTTCTCACACTGACTGATTAGGTTCGTATCTGGGTCAGGTAAGTTTTTTTTGTTTCTACTTTTTTTGAACAAAGTTATTTGAAGATAATCCTAAAAACCTATTGAAATTCACGTTAAAAAACGTGATCATCGCTAGATGAGATCTTTCTTTTCATTATTTTTCGAGTATAATTATCATGTGTTATTTCTGACATCTCTCATATGTGTATTATATGGTTTGTAAGATGTATATCTAGCTGTCATCGCGGTGACAGGTTTTATTTTAACGTGTTGTGTGTACACTGACACAACACGTTAAAATAAAAATAATAATAGCGTGCACGTAGCGCGCGCCTGTATTGTGCTAGTTAAGAAAAAAACTACAGACTGTTATGTTTAAAAATTCGAAAAATCTTCAACATTAAAAAAGAAAGATGGAAACGCTTATATGTGTTTGAAAATCTGTAAATAGTTATCTGCAAGTATATTTATAACGCGAGATTCACGAAAGTATATCGACGGGTAATGTGATATAACGCGTCGTGTAAGCGATATAACACTTCGGAAACGTACTTGTAGGCGAGAACTTTACGACGATGTGTTGTAAAATAAATCCTACGGCGTCGTTTCTCCGCGACGGGGTAAAAGTTTTTCCGACGATGCTCGCGACGGGGGCGCAAAACGCCGTAAAAGGGGTTAGATCGGGAGGAGTATATTGCGAAAGGTGAACTTTTCAGTTTTTGCGCGACGTCGGCCCATAAATCGCACGCAGGCTCCATTAAGTCACGGCTTATTAAGCTGTAAACGAAAAATTAGTCCCGGCACGGAATACTTAATTAATGGCCGCGCCAAACTTACGGCGAAGTCGCCAAAAATTATGGCGCTGAAGTGTCCTATAAAGTGTCTCGTACAACTTTATATTCAATACAGAGCGTGTGCTCCCGTCGTCGAGCGTTGGAAGAAAAAAAAAATCGATGAGCCTCGTTCTTGATGCTATTTAAAGAGTTTGAGCTCGGCGCGTTGAGATCTTCGTTACACTTCGGCGACATTTACGACGCGCGCGCGCCCGAAGAGAGAAGAAGAGTTCTTCGTTCCCGTTTAATAATTTTAATTAATATCTCCCGCGTGTCTTCCCGCTTTGTTAATTTAATCTTTGAAAAATTAACAATTTATAAATCTACATTACGCGCAATATGCAATTATTAATTTTATATTAATATTTTATTAAGTTTTTCGCATTAATTAATTCTCTTCGGCGTTGATTAATTTCGACTAGATCGGTTTCCTCGCGCTCGTTCACGGTTCATATGATTTTCATATGCATATATCGATTCGCACGCGAGCGGCAAGAATAAATAATCGGACATTTCGATAATATGCAAATCGCCCGAGAGCGTTATCCGTCGAATTAGTAGTTTAAGGTAATGTAAAGTACCTGAATTCGATAAAGCCGTGATGCAGTATCAGGGCCATAAAATCTCCCTGAAGATCATCCCGTTCTCCGGCCAGCAGAATCACCCCGTCCCACGCTTCGGGTCGAAATTCCAGTTCTAATTGAACGTGTTTGTAAGCGGCCCTTAAGGCGGGAAAAGCCAGCCAGCCTGACCCAGTGAAACGTGGCGATCTTACTTCGGCCTCTGAAACACAATATTAGACGCTTTCAATTGATTCGAGGGAATCTCGGCGGTTAAGTTTCGCCGTTAAATCGCACGATCTGTATTTTCAAATTAACTTCTCACCGCATTCTCTCTGTTGAGATTGTTTTTAGAAAAACATTTGTTTTTCTAAAACGCGTGTTTTTCTAACGCGTGTTTTTTTTTTCAAAAAATTTGTGAAATTATTTTGAAGGTTTTTGTCAAAACGTTCGTTTCTGTTTGAAACATTCTCTTTCACGTAACACGCTTGGAATAAAACTTATTTCTCGAGTTATTTATTTACACTTGTTGTGTGTGCATTTAAAATGTTGTGCCTCAGACAGAATCGCGCACATAAAAAGATCCATTATCGCCGGGAAGAGAGTTTCTGAATATATTCGTGCGAATGGTCTCAAATACGTCAATGTGAAATATATTTTCTGAGAAAAATTTCGTCCCGCGGCAACTGAAAAATATTACCGCGATAAATATGTCTTTCGGAAAGTGCCGCGGAATAATCTCGTGAGATCCGTGTCTGCCGCAATTTGTAGTTGAGAGACGTGCGAGCGGTTAACATGCTGGTACCGTCGGCCACACCTTTCGAAGGATACCGTCGACTCGAAGGAAAATCGGAAATTCCGGCCGCACGCGAGGCTTATGGAACGTCCCTTTACCCGCACGATCTACAACCCCGTATCAATCACGCGAGTGTAGCGCAGGGCGTAACCCGGGAAGCAGAAGACCCCGAGAGCACGTGGAACACGTGAGCGTAAGGACGACGATAAATCAGAGGACCGGGCCAGAAGAATAGAAAAAGTTGCGCCCGCGGGGTCTCGAAATGGAATTCCAGCTCTTGATAGCGCGCACAGGACCCTCGACGTTATCGTGTAACAAAGCGCCGCTCGGATGGCAGAATTGTGCGCGCAATTACAACGGCAGGGGAGTGATATCGAAAAAAGACGGGGCGAGAGAATTTATCGAACACTGACGCGCCGATGGGAATATCTCCGATCGTAGTTTGTTTATCACCGCCATAAGTTCGAGCGAATTTAATCGAGATATCATTTCTTTTTTTTTTGCAACTTGCGTCGTGTCGCTGCGGCAACAACATTCGTTATGTTTTTTTCACGAAGGTAAAAAGCGCGCGCGGTAATCACATTATATTTTTGTGTCTTAAATTAATAATGTGTACTTCGCGCGAGCGGTTTATTGATATAAAATGACGTTTTATTTTTTTTTTTTTTACAATTTGCGTTACATTATCACACGTAATAAATTAAGTTGCGAATGTTCATCCGTTGTGCTAAATATAGCGTCGCAAATTGGCTAATTGTAAGTCATGTAAAATTGTGATTACGGCTCGCGTCCTAACCTAGTTTATGTTTCATCTCGTGCGCGAATGCGCATAAAGTACAGGAAAGTGTCAACAGAACTGAACTGCACTAATATTCTATAAATTGCTGTATCCGTACAGTTGAATAACCAAGTTGTACTCGGACCATATATATTCTCTCTCTACTCACAGTAGAACAAGTACATTCCGCGCGCGCGGACCGGCCGGATCTCAACTCCCCACAGTAGAATAAGTAAATTATAGCCGGACCATATATTTCTTCCTACCGGTAGAACAAGTACATTATATTCGAGCCACTGCAATTCGCTTTTCGATTACACACACACACTCTCTCTCTCTCGCGGTATCTCAACATGCTTAGAATTAACTATCGCGCAGAACTATTGCTTACAAATGCAACATCTTTTGTCATTTCATTTTCTCCGGGAAATACAATATTCAGATCAGAAATCAAGTCGAGATATAATTCGAGGTAGAATATTTGCATAAAGAGAAGCGAGAAAATATACAACTTTCAAATTGTATAAACGACAAAGAGACAATTTTCTTTAGCAAAAACGTTGACTATATATTATAAACAAAATTACTAAAATAAATATTACTAAAATAAATAAATATTAAATAATTGAAATGTATTAGCACAAACACATGTTGTGTAGATATTGTTATAAAATTGAACGAGTTCCAACGAGTTTGCGTAATATTTACTTTCTTCCGCATAAAATACACACGTTTGTTTTCAGCTCTTTGCCTTGTGTATTGCGCAAATCAGCTGCGGCGGGCAAATAAGTTACTTTATAACACGGCGAAGCGTGCGGAAGAGAGGCAAGAGCTCAATGATTAAAATCGAACATCTAAAAGTTATCGTCTGATGTTCGGTATCGCGCTTGACTTAACGAGAGAAACGAATTTCTGGAACGCGAGAAACAACGTTTCCCAGCGCTTGCGGTCCAGCGAGGCGTGTAAACTATCGAGAACCCGATCGATCGAACGAACGGGCCGGCCGCGCTCGTTCGAAAAGAGTTGCGGCGATAGTAACTCGTTTCCCGCGGCGACTTGATTGATCGTTTCGCCATTCGAGGCGTGCCCTTATGCAAATTAACCGGATCAAAAGACTCTCGTAGTTTCCGCCCGAGCTTCCCAAAGTGGACGTAACCGACGTCGGCTTTCACGACTCGCGCTGTCCTACTACACAACGCGAAAGCTAATGAACTCCATTTCTTCGTCGTTGGAAAAAAAAAAAATTCTTCTCTCCGCCCCGACAAACGCGTTCTCGACGCCGCAAAATTTTCTTTGCGGCGCGCGCGGGAGTTCCGATGCGAAAAAATATTCCGCGCGCTGAGTTTGCTTTTCAAAGTTTCCGTCAAAGAGAGAAAAAAGAAAGAATCGAATAAACCAATTTAAACGGAAGTATAATCACAGGGAAAAAAAATCTAAAAAGAAACAAAAACGAGATAAAAAACAAATGATACGTCTATTACGTAACGTGATTATTACATTTCCGCGTTATGAACTTTGAGCGTTCCGTGAAATCGCGAATGTTACATAATTAGTTCGATATAGTCCCGTCAATTAACAGACTCGACGGGACATCCTAGACGTCCTTCCCTTTCTTCCCTCCTATAACAATCGTATGCTAAATCGATGATACGTTGGTTACAACATGTGCCAGAATCGTGCAAGCCATTTTCTCCGGGACATTAACCGCCAAAAGCATAATCGTGGGCATCGTTAATGCTCACGTGTCCCATTCCGATACTCGTCGTTATTATCGCTACGAGAACAAAGAGAACTGTCGTGTGTCGCTTTCGCGATTACGCAGGAAATTATGACACGTTGCAATTATAACACGCGCGCACGACGTCGATACTGCAACTGATATTCGTGATTGCGAATACGCGCGCGATCGTAAATAACAAACGTTAAACGTAGCTGTATAATCCCTAACGGTTGCAGCGATAAACGAACAATTTAATGATTTTGTAAAATTCGATTTCGATTTTATTGATCTTTTTCCGTCGTTGTTAGTGTACTTGCAAAGTAGCGTCGCGCACCAAATGCCGCGCTCTCGATAATTTGTCAACGGTCTATCAATGCACAGACGAAAACAAAACAAAACCAAAAAAAAAAAAAAAAAAAATTTCGAAGCAACAGCCGTGTGATTTTCCATTACGTTACCCGTCGTCTCGTTTCTCGCGTCTGTGTTTCATCAATTTTCCCTTCATTCCCTATTTATACAAGCGCACACTTCAATTTGGTCGACACTGGTGAACAAATATCATCTCGGCGGAGAGCGACGACGAGCCGAGAGTTCAATCCGCGAAAGAGAACGAGAGAGAAACAGAGATGGAGAAAGAGCTGAATTTAATTGGAAAAAAGTTAACTCGCGATGTCAGCATCAAAGGGCAATCAAAAGGACGTACGCCGGCGCGTGCCGAACGTTGTGTCATAAGTCAACGGAGAACAGTATGCCGAGCACGACTCGTACGTCGTCGCGCGCTATCGATTTTATAATCAAGGCGGAGACGCAGTGAACCGCGTGCTCCCGTTTTCCGTTCGCCAAGCCGTCCCTGACACCACGGGAACTTTATATCGCCACGATCCTCAAATACCACGCGACGCAAATAAGAATTTCGTATAAGAATTTGGTTTTTTTTTTCCTTCACGTATATAATTACGCGGAAATAACGCGTCCTTCGCTAAAAAGCAAATGAAAATACGACAATTGTATATTTTTATATCTCACCGCATAAAATACAAGTTAGTATCTAAAATAACAAACAATGTAATCAATATCTCGGGAGCATAAACAAAATTAAATATTTAACATCTCAAACGAAACACACGCTATATTTTCCGATGCTATACAGCGAAAGATAAAAAAAAAAAAACTTTCTCCGCGAGAGTAAACAAATCGAAACGCTCTGTGAATTTTTTTCAATATCGTTACGCTCGATCGTCGCAAATTGCGTAAATTGGAGTTTGCAAGGCCGGGGGGGAGAGATTTACGCGCAAACCGCGCGCAAACCGTAAACGTTATTTTCACGCGTTTGCACGCCGGGCATCAGAAATGACCAGCCGGCCCCATCCGACTCTCCGCCCGAAAAACGTTGCGTGCGCGAACGCGCAAATAAATTCTACAATTAATTGTATATCATAGCATCGCGCAATAGACAGTTGCGGCGATCTGCATAATTGGAATGGCTTTCTCTCTCTGTCTCTGTCTCTCTCTCTCTCTCTCTCTCTCTCTCTCTCTCTCTCTCTCTCTCTCTCTCTCTCTCTCGCAAAATTATGAGAATCCCTACACGCGTAATCCAACAGTTGTCCTCGCGCGTCGTCGTCGTCGTCGTCGTGCATGTGCACCTGTTGTGGCGCATCTCCCGCGCTTAATCGATTGACTATCCGCTGTGACGCGACAAATTGCGTTTGTCCTTCTCGCATTATGGCCGGCACACAACGGCCGGTCCACGTGCCACTCTTTTTGTTCCCTTTCTCTCGTACGCCCCGTAACCCTTTCGTGCCCAGCGAAGGTTGCCGGTGTGACCATGTCGTTGTTTTTTCTTTTTCTCTCTCTGTCTCTTTCTCTCACACGTGCATCGACGAGCGCAGCTTCGAAGTTTTACTCTCTCGCGAAAACGCGGATATATCG